TTTGAACTGCTTGCTTGCCTTATACGCAAGCGTGCATTTCCAGGAACTTAACGATTAGATAAAATTTGTTTAACTTTTGTATATATATACATATATCTTATCAATTGCAAAGAACTATAAAATTTAAATAAAATATATTTACTTATTGTTATAGGAATTTGCGTCTTAACAGTTAATGTTAATAGCATGCAAAACGGACAGAGTTAAAGCTCAGCTGGGTTTTGATTGCTGCGCAGCCAATCAGCCATACAAAATAAGTGGGTGTGTGTGTGTGGGTGTGTGGGCGTGTGTGTGTGTGTGTGTTGGCCATGTTGTGGGACAACATGCTCGGCACATATAAGAAATTAACTTAAAAAGTCATTTTGCAGGCAGACAGCGTGCTAAAGAGGCAGCGAGAAGGTGCCACAGCGGGAATGAGAAAAAAGGATTAATTGTATGAGGCGAGAGAGAGAGAGAGAGAAAGAGCAACAGAGAGAGAGAGAGAGAGATAGAAGCTGAAGGTATGGCATCATCAGAATGTGGCAACGGCAACGGCAAATGGCGATGGCAACGCGGCGTATGAAGCACTGAACACTGAATATCCTGGCTTTTCTATAAGCCATTGACTTGCACATCTGCGTCCACATTCGCATCCTTTGCCAGCACAACACAAACACACACACACATATACAGGCAGGCAGGCATGCTGAAGGATGTGCGACTCGCGCATGTGTGGTGTATTTTTTAATAGTGTTTCGTGTGCCTCTTGGCGTTAATTTATGCCACAAAATCATTTTCTTTTATACTCGCAGCCACATGCAAAATAAAAATTAAAACTGAAATATGAAAAAGGCAAAATATATAAAAAAAAAAAAAGAAGACATGGGAAAATAAAAGCAACTACACGAGTTGCTTCGTGCATGCAAATTGCGTTGCAGCGCCCGCGGCGATGAGACGCAGTTTATGTCAAGTGAAAAATGAGTGCGAACTATGACATGAAATATGAGCGCATCCCAAATACAACAAACCAACCCCCCCCCCCCCCCCCCCTCCAATCCTCGTCCCATCCTTCATCAACCCCTATCCACAGCAGCATTTATTAGTGCGCTTTGAAAATGACTACAAAAATCTAAATAAAATAAGACGATAACAAAAATGCAAGTTAGAGCGCTCCGATTGAAAGTGCTGCATCCAGGGATACCCTGTATCGTAATTGTTTTGAGGAATGTTTGCCATCATTTTCAGGGCTTTAATGTGGCCTTACTCTACCTATTAAAATTACTGATTTCACAATTTTTTGGGATATGGGTAAAATATAAAAAAATGTATTATTCATGTACCTTAATTTTCAAGGTATGCGTTACAAATCATGTCACAAAATCGATATTTATCGATATTATGAAAATGGCAGAATATGTTGGAAAATCAGTTAAGCTTATTCTACGTATGAACTAGGTGGAAAATCTATATGAATCGATATTATGGTAATGGGAGGAGAGATCATTCTGCATATATAGGAGAAAATCGAATGTTATCGATATTATAGATAAAGTCAACAAACGGACAGACAGATAGATATCGCCAGATCGGCTCAGCTCGACGTCCTGAGCAAGAAAATACCTTTATACCTTATGGAGTCAGAGTTGTCTGTCTTCCATCTGTGTGTTACATATATTTCCACAGAACTATCATACCCTTTTTAAACGTTCTCAATGGTTTTAGGGTATCAGAAATGCCATAGCACTGCAAATTAATGTCTACGATTAGCTCATAGTTCAAGCGAATTTTCGAATCGAAACCGAAAACGTAAACAAAAACACATAAATAACGAACTGTTTGACACGAGCCGAGCCGAGCCTGATAAGAACGCCTCAACAAAAAATAGAGAATACACAAAATAATTATAAGAGTCTACATACATAATATTACGTGGTGTTTTGTTTCAACAAAATTTGTCTCAAGTCAATTGCGAATTTGTGCAAAAAGTAAAGAAAAACGACGAAAACAACTTGAAAAAGTTCAAATCGCAATTGAATAGTTCGCGCTTGCCCCCCGCGACCCGACCAAGACAGACAGCGCAAGTTGTGTATTCTAAGACGCAGTTAAATGATTCGACTCAATTGAAACAGGCCTATGTTGTTGATTTCATGGTCATCTAGACTATATAGCCCCATAGACTATCTACACTGTTTCAATGTCCACCAGACAAGGCCGCCGTTTCATGTTCAAAGCCATTTGTCGTTTTCACTGGCATTGGAGAAGGTTGTGCAAATTGAGGAGTTGCAATATAGTATTAGATGTACATAGATACCAAGTAATACATGTAATGTAACTGGGTTAGCTTGCACATCGTTCAAGATCTCAAGATCTCTCAAGGCGTCTTAAAACAAAAACCTCTAGAATTAATTAAGTCGTTAATTAAATTGGAATTGTGACAAGCACAGCGCAGAGGCACACTTTTCTTCAAATGTCGTTTTTTGTGTACGATCAGCTTCACAATCCCGTTTTCACTTTTCGCCATAATCATCCCCAGATGGAAGATGAACGTCCAAGGTTTCATGGTTTTGGACCTTTTGTGCCTAGTCCGACTGACTTCAAAGTCCTCTTTGTTAAAATGTTACTTAAGAAGGGGAATCCCTGATTGCGCAAACCGACACCTATGGCTGTAAGTGAGGTATGTGTGAGCTTTCAAGTAGACGGAGGAGCAGGAAAAGTTACCTTATCTCGGACTAGGCTGTGTATTAACCCCTATATATGTTTTCTTATAACAAACGCAAACCCAGTTTTACTGTGCTGCGCTGCAAACTTGAAAAAGAAACTTTTTTTTAAATAAAGCCCTTCTATGCGATTCTCTTGAATTCAAGTACGACTTAATGATTTCAATGCTTTAACAAGAAGACTTTTGTTGATGATTTAATAAGAATTATCTCTACTATGATTACTCTCACTGTGATTAACTCTCTCTGCGATTAATACTTCAGACTTGAGCAAAAACTAATAATCCAAGAGTTACTAGTTGCCCTATGGAATCCTTATTCTCTTTGCATAGTTGCCTTTCACAACACTCAACACAGGTTGGCGATTAACTGAGTAAATTGAGAGCACGTTTATTTAGAAATCTGAAAGTGATGTCCACTCACTCAATATGTTGCCTTGGCTCAATTCATTCAACTTACGAGAAAAATATAAAACAGCCCAGCACGATTTCAATCTGACAATCGCCCACTCAACTAAAACTCAACTATAAATAACGACATGAAATAAACATTTAAAAATTTGCAGCGAAATCGCGCGCAACTATAAAATATTTAGAGAAAATAAAGAAAAAACATAAATAAAGCATAAATAATAAAAGCTAAACGTACAACTGAGAGCCAGACACGAGTACGTGCCTCTGCTGTCTGATAAATGTTTCGAACGCGAATGCTCAGCAAGGACGTTTATTTTTAAAATCAAGAAATCATATTATTATATTATGTGTGCACAGATTCCAAAAAAGATTCACTTGGAAAAGGCCTGAGGCTATGGAATATACGAGAATCGGAATCAGAATTGGAATCTTGTCAGCTTGAACCAGCGCTGAACTTGACATTGAAACCCAAAACGGGCAGATACGCGCTTAGGTATATATAACAAAGTTCCTTCTCTACATATACGCATATATATATATATATATATAGATGGAAAAATAGAACAGAGATTACGCTAAAGATTGATCAGGCGCAGAGCTCTGGCCACACAACTGTACAGGCATTGATATATGGACACGTGACACTCGCAAAGCCAAACACAAGCATCATCAGCATGATCAACATCTTCATCATCATGATCATCATCATCATTATGGACCCCTATATCATCCCGGAGAGAGCGGCTCGCTGATAAGAACCGCCTGAGTGACCTGGTGGACAACCTTTGTGGCTCTTTCTTTGGCTATGATTCAGCCCGTCGAGCACTTACATAATCAGTGCGATGTTTACACATTAGTCATGTGAGAGGACAGAGAAAGCGACAGAGAGAGAAAGAGAGAGGGAGAGACAGTATTCGAAATACAATTCAAAATATTGACAGAGCATTTCATTACAGCCCTTCAAATATTTCACAACAATTACTCGTACAGTTGTCGCATAAAGAAATTTATAAATAATGTCAGCTTGACATATAGAGATTAGTCCAGCCATCAGCTGACTGGGTGGGCAGCGGAACCAATATACTCTTTTTCACTACTTAAACAGAGTCTCAAAAGCTTGAAAATTTTCGTATAGATGTGTCTAAGAATAGTTCCCTCCAAAGAGTCCAATAACATGTGATCGACTCACGCGCTCTGCAATGCACTCAAAGCAAATCATTTAAATGGACCATCAAATACTTCAAATCAATTAGAATTGATGTGGTCTTTCATGCTCTGTTCACAAAACTGACTGTGGGTATATTGGTTTTCTGGTAGAGACTCAAAACATGAGTGTAATATTTATGTTTAAATATTTTCTGCTATAGGGAGGTATTTCATAGAACTCAGAAAGACAAAGATTATTAAAGGGAATGCTGGCCGACAATCTTAAAGTATATTTGAAGATATTCTTGAAAATAAACTAGAAAACAAATCAGGAAGAAGAGCGCATTTATTCTAACTAGAAGAACTTACCTTTTGTTAACTTTTATTATTCTTACATCCATGACCAAGGGCTGATGCCAGAAAAAACGTTTGAATGTGAGCCTAATTAAATGGGTTCCACCCAGCAAGGCTGCAAGTATTCAGTTAAGAATTATTTAAAATTTTTACGGCCTTCGCAACGTTGGATTCTATTAAAGCTCGCCCATTGAAGCAGCCCGTCGTTCCCAAGCCCCAATTAATTCTTGTGGTCATATGACGCGCACGCTGCTCACGTGCTCTGAAATACTCTGAAATTGATGAGACTAATTGTTTATTGAACAACAAAAGCCAAGAAATGTCTTCGACTAGAAGATACCCTGTTATATATAAACTATGCGCATATCAAAATGAATAACAAAATCTGAGCCTAAATAGACGAAAAGTGTATACATTTAATTTTTATCATTTAAAAAGCAACCTTTTGATTTATAGCTATATAAGCTATACCAGGGTACAGCAAAATTCGCCATTCTCGCAGTCCGTTCTAGGTATACGCAGAGCTTCGCCGCAAAACGTCATGCAGATCGCCAGATTTGAAGGACATGGCTCTTCGAAGGCAACGGAGGAGTTACAGGTGAAAACGAGAACAATAAATCAATCAATAATAAATATTGGAAATTGTTTAGAGAGGAATACGTTTAGGAAATGCGATAAGCATTTGGATAAGTTCAGATGCGCGTACTTGTGTAAGGAGCCTTGCTATCGATCCCCTCTAATGAGTCAATATCCGCGAAGACCAATTGCATCATTAGAGCTGATACCAGGCCGAGATATAAGAGGTTCCTCTTAGCTGACATATTGAACAGAGTTAGCTGCGACATCAGGTCGAGGTTTAAATTGCAATCAACACTAAGAGAGACTAATTAGATAAGTTCCAACCAGGAAGGCGTACAAAATTCAGTTAAGAAAAGATGCAAATTTCTTGAAACATTGAAGCATTGTAAATAATGCCTTTCGCAACGTTCCGCCGCATTATAGTTCAGCTGATCGAGCCTCAAGTGCCAAGCATAGTCATAAGCTCGACTAGAGGTTACCCTTTAAAAGCGAAATCTTAGAAAGTATTTCCTCTTCCTATATAGAACCCATATGGCAAATTTCTAGAATCTTATAAATAGGCAGATATGAATTAAGCAGATAAGAACTCTGACTGTTTCTCAATTTTATGTGAATAATTCAAATTCATTTTTTTTTTTTTTTAAATATTTACAGTGTTTTTTATTTTATTAGAACAGTAGAAATATTTCATATAAAAATTATTCGTACAATATATAAGTTAAAGTATCGTTAAATATAGTCTACAGTTGACAAATGATGCTCATTGATTTATAGATTATATTACATAACGTAGTCTAAATCAAAACACAGCAAAACTCTCCGTTCTTGCAGTCCGTTCCAGGTCTCTGCAGTGCCTGGCCGCAGTACTCCATGCAGGCGCCCAGGTGTTGCGCACACGGCGCTGGTCTAACGGGCACTGCAGCAGACAGATGATGGTGGGGTAGGAATGCAGTTACAGGTGAGTTAACGTGGGGGGTAGGTGGGGAGAAGGAGTGGAGCAATAGGCGAAAATAGACGAACGTTGTTAGTGGAGATATTTTGGGCACAGTTGATGATGTGGGAAAAACGAAATCGAAAACGAAAACGAAAACAAGAACAACAGATGAGTACATCAAGTAATACCAATCAATCAATAATTAATATAGGATATAGTTGTTTGGGTAGGAATTTCGTTTAGGAACTGCGAGAAGCGTTTGGATAAATAACTGTGAGATGTTAAGGCGTTATAAGCAAGCTGCTATTTCCAGTTAATAGTTATTCGTATGGCCTATACTCACACTCGTAGCAGCACTCCACGCCCAGATGGGCGCTGGTGGGGCACAGGCCCTTGTTCGTGGTGGGCAGGTTGCAATCGCTGGTGTGCACACACAATCCTCCGACGAGCACACAATGACGATCATTGGGATAGACACGCACGCCCTGCAGCACTGCAAGTTGTGGGTTATTATATTATAATATGGCATCCAATTAAATTGTGTCCAGCTGCACTTACTATATTCGGGACTATTATTGTCGTTCACTTCGTTTGTCTCGATATCCGCACAGACCAATTGCAGCACTAGGGCCGACACCAGGCACAGGCCAAGAACTTTGATTGTATTTGACATATTGTTATCTTTTATTTTGTTTCTATTTGTATTTTTTTTTTTTTTTTTGTATTTTTGATCACTGCGTATACAAAGTAATCCACACGATAGCACGGTTTGCGTAGCACTGAGCGTCTCCAAATCCGTTCCAGATGCTTTTCAACAAAAATTTTTGTCGAATAGAAACCCACGAAACGTTGTTTTGCACAACTCGACGAACGATCGACAAATGCGCGACGCGGCAGAGGCTGTCTCTGAGGCAGCCAGAGAGCCAGAGACGACAACAGACAACCAGACAGAGTCAGTGCCAGAGAGGGGAGGGCGGAGGTGCAGAGGGGGGGAGGAGGGGCTGCTGGCCATAGCAGATAGTGCTGTATGCGGGCGCTCAGTTCAATTGAAGAGCGTGAGAGCCATTAATAATATTGGCGCGTTTGCAAACAACACCAGGAAAACCCAACACGACGAGCGGCGCATAAAAGATCAGCCGGCAGCAGCAACAACAACAACAGCAACAACAACAACAACAGCAACAACAACAACAACAGCAATAACAACAAACCCGAACCTGAACCAAATAAAAACATAATTCATTTGATGTACTCACGCGCTCTGAAAAGCACGCCAATAACTTAATGAATGGGCCATCAAATATTTAGATTCAAGTCGTATTTATGAGTTCTTTTTGTTTATTGAACAGCTGCAACGCTGAGGAATGCTCGGCCAGCTAGTTACCCTGTACAAATTTTAAAACGCAAAAGAAAAACCTAAATACTTGAAACAAACGTGAAATCTTCGCATTTGATGGAAGAGCAAAACTTGGATTGAATTAAGTGTTGGAAAATCCAGTTTAAAAAAAGTGAACATTTAGTAGTGTAGGTTAAGATCCTTCGACTCACTTTGCTGTTGTTTTGCCTGGAAACTTGGACAAAATATAAAAGAATTTTGATACTTATAATAAGCAGGAAACATTCTAAGTGATAGTCCAGCAGAACTTGCACTGAATTTATAAATCTTTCATTGTTAGAAAATTAATTTTAATGAAAGAGGCATTTTCTTAAGGTTATGCTGTTCTTAACTTTGAATAATTTCTGTTCAAATGTTGGCAAAAAATCGAGGAATTTAAATACTTAAAAAAAAAAAAACAAAGTTATATTCCTTTTAAAATTGCCTGGAAATGCGCACAACCTATGCCAGGCCGACATCTGAGAAATTGTAATTGATATTTAATTTATGTTCATTTCTAGAAAGGATGGAAAACAATATGAAACAAATCGAATTCCATTTACGCATTGATGTAAGTGTAGATTACAGCCACTTGCACAACCGCATGACAGCCCGTTAGGCATCTCTTTGTTTACGGGGTATTCGAGGAGGCGCCAGCCCCTGAAGCAATCAAGAAGTAAAACTTCTTTATGATTAACCGCATTTATCGAGGCGTAACGTGATTTAACTGCATTTTAAAGCAAATGATCTGGTTCGGCGCTCCCAAAGCGCGTGTGTGTGTGTGTGTGTGTGTGTGTGGACGTAGAAACAATCTGTAATTGTTATCAGCTCGCATGGATTTCGTCGTGAGCGTGTTTGGGTCCGTCTGCCTGAAGTTTTGTCTATTTGGAAAACAAATTCAATTTCAGCAAAATGTGCAAGAACGAAACAGATCGACGTCATGTGATGCTCTGCAAGAATGTTCTCTATTAAACAGATGGCTGACCCCGGTTAATAACAATCATCATTAGCGTATCAGACAAACAAACGTCGAAGAGCTGATGTTAGAAGACAAAAATACCCTGTACTCTGTACTCTGTATCTCGAATTGCTGTAAGTTGTGCAAATTGGTATAGAAAAAATAAAACGTGTGTTTCGCTCACGAAACTAAACTATGAATGAACTTGACGGATGCTCTCCGCAACAGTTTTGAAAGTAATCATCCCTATTGATTGACCCTGAGATACAATAATCTGTGTGCCGAGAACTTTCATTGAAAATCCCCGACTTTAGTCATCGCGAACTGATAACATTTACTTTTTTATGTTGAACACGTTCAGTTTTGCGTGCAAAACAAATAGAGAACAGCAGCTTGTTGACATTGCTGACGTTCTTATCAGGAAAATAATGGATTTAAAGGTGGGAAGTACAATTGCTTAATTCAGCTTGAACACCTGTCAACGACAGCTGGAGATGAACTACTTGAGGTGTGTGTGTAGATTTTTGGGTCACGGCTACGAATGGAGTGTACGATAACAAATTTAAACATATCGTATTTATATATAGTTTACTTGGGTTTAATTTTATAGATAAGTATGGATAACATCCGAATTTAAAAAGTTTCTCTCTCGAAAAATGCATTTAATGCGCCCTGCTGGTTTGTGTCTCAGCTACTTTTGTAGTGAAACCGCTCAACCTGCTTGCTGTGCGTTTGTGTGTACACACACAGCTTGTTCTGCCTCAACTGTGCTGCACTGCTTTATGTACAGCCATTGTTTTCACTGCTTGGCAAACTGCTTATAATTCGGTTTTTTTTTTCAAACGTGTGAATCATTTTCCGGCGAAATCTTGGAGCTATAGAGATACGCTTTGCATACTCATCCCAAACCAGAATTAAAGAAGTATTCGTCATGATTTTAAATGGAAATGTACACATTTTATTAGTTAACAACAGGCTAGAGTTATTGTAATTGAAGAGGCAAAGTAAATATTAAATATAAATGGACTACTGCAAAATATGTATGCATATTCTGTCATTCAGTCTTTGTTAACATTTCAACTAACAGTAATATATATATATATATATATATATATATATATATATATATATATATATATATATGGCTTACAGCTAATCTTTAACAATTGCTACAAAATACATTTAATTATAATACATTTCACACTGCACTACAAAAATGGCCGCTTCGCTTTTGGCCAAAACGAGGGCATTTCGCATGTGGCACCAGGTGCATGCACAGTAAATATCACAGAGACGTTAATTATACAGCCCGCATACGAATAAAAGCTGAAGCTTTATCATTTCTGCGGCTTTGGCCGCTCATCAATTGTATAGATACTGGCGGGTGCGGTAGATACGGGCGACGCATTCGACTCATCATTGCCCTTACCCTCACTATTGAAGGGTATCACAAAGATGCTCGTCTTGGCCGCATGCTGCATTTTGATAACCGTATCATAGCTCGGTGGCGCGAATTCACTGTACGATGGCGACGGCGTGGGCGGTGCACGTTGTGTCTCATTGGGCGTGGCATTCGCCTGACGACCACGCATATCCCGACAACGTCGATCCGAGCAGGCCATCAGCATAAAGAAGGCGGCCAGCGCCAGAAACGTGGCCACATACCACACAATGGTAATCACATCCATTGCCGTCTGAGATAGTTCGTTGTTGGGCTCAACAACTGCTGAAATCGGATAAAGATAGGTTAGGTTAAAGGTTAAAGGCAAGGCTATAGTTTAGATCATAGCTTAAGATCGGGAGAACTCGATCGAAGTTCTATATATTATATAGTATAGTAATATTTGGAAATGCTCTGTGAAACGGGCGGACGAAAAGTTTCGTTATGTGGGACAGTTGGCCGGAACCGGCAGCTTATACTATATAAAATTTGATAAGCTTCTAAACTCATATAGATTCTATAATTAAAGAGTAGAATATATCACTTTACATTAAATGAATAATCTGAATCGATTCGATTTGCTTTTCTTGCATACATCGCCTCAAAAGCCATTATTAATGCGTATTATACAACTTGTTCTTTTAGCCCAATAGATACCCCCCACCCACCCCCCCCCCCCCCCTGAAACCCTCTGTATCCAAGCGACAATTGTTAAATGTGTCATTCAATTGATGACGCAAAAAGAGTTCGATTTTGTGAAACGCGTCAGAGTCCAATGAGCACCTGATACGAGGGGACTGTCTGTTTCCCAGCTGGATTGAACGCTAAACGCTTTTATTGAAACCTGTTTGTCAACCAATTATTAAGTTGTAAGTTACGACTGCAAATGGTTGATATCCTATATTATTTAATGTGTCTATAGACATGTGTCTATATGCCTTGTAACAGACCTTTTCTTACTCTGAGGAAAACACTTGAAATGAATTAAATATGGTATATAGATCTATAATTGTATGTACAACAAATGCGATAAATCTTTATGTGTTTGGCTATTAACAATGCCTAAGCTGGGCCTATGGCAGGGAAGTTTATGCTCAATACTGAAATTCTACTATCAACTTTCTTTACTGGGATTTCTAGCAAATTAAAATGGTTAATAAAAAGGGTATATTGCTTTTGTGTAAATGTATGTAACAAAACGAAGAAACCATCTACGACCCTTTAAGTATATTTATATATTGTAACAAGCATCAAGAGTCGAGTTGATCTAGCTATGTCCGTCCGTCTGTCTGTCTGTCTATCTGTCTGTCTGTTTGTCTCTCTGTCTGTCTGTCAGTCTATCCCTCCGTCCGTCTGACCGCCCGTCTGTCTGTCCGTCTGTATGAACGCGTGGATCTGAGCACCAACAAGATCTAGAGCCTTGAAATGTTGAACGTAGTTCCACCTCTTACCTATGCGAGTTTGTTGCCTCTAATCGATAACTTGCTTCGTTTTCAAGCGATCGATAAAAATCGATGTCGAAATTCCGATTTTTGAGCAAATCTCTTTGGTTTTAAAAGCTAGACACTCCAAACTTGACATGCAGCTTCTCGATTAGCATATACACATAAGGTATATTTCCTTTGCCCCCCCTCTGCATTTTGTGCAGGCGGAAGAAGCTTTAGGGTATCCCCTCCCGACTAGAACACTCCTCCCAGTCTTAATTGAAATACTTACTATTTTTATAGACAAATATTCTTGTATTATTATCCACTTGCTCGGCAAACAGATCCGTCTCGTTTGTACCATTCACAGTCGTTAGATTATATGGCAGCTGACGCGTAAGAACGTTCTCCAAGGTTAACAGATAGGACTGACCATGTGCTCCGGTCGCACAGACACTGAATACTGAAATGGTAAAAAAAAAAAAAAGAAGAGGAATACAAATTATTATAGAGCCGGGCATTTTGCTGATAAAACAAGCAACATAACGCACACAGTAACAAGAAATCAAAACGAAATAATGCTGATGGTTTTTTTTTTTACTACGAACGATCGCGCAGATAAGCTATCAATGGGCATGATTCCCCCCATGCTTATATATAAGTATACTATATACTATATTATTAGATTACATAGATTATTACATAGATAATATATGTATGTGGCCATTCCTCATTTTGGGCGTGCGCAAATTACGAAGGCAAACACTTGACGACCGATAAAAGGGAATATGTCTTCTTGCTTTCTAAATATAGCCCAGAATTGGGCGCGTTTTTTAAGAACAAAGCCGCGCGAAATTGTTCATAATAAAACGCTAAATAGGTAAATAATTGGGCAATTTGTTTACCAGCGACAATAAACACATAAATAATGGGAGAGCGTTAAATTTCTCTGGCGAATTGCCGATAAGCACTTGGCGTCGGCTAGTCTGAGGGCAGCTAAATTGAATACCTGTTCAAGCACCTGCCCCATAAAAATGGGCAACTACTCAAGTTTCTGGTGCAAAACAAGTAAGAAGTTCTAGTCGGGAGCTCCCGACTAGGGGATATCCTGAACCCTCTTCTTTCCTCTTCTTCTTAGAAGCTATATGTTAAGTTTGGTGACTCTAGCTCTTATTATTTACCAAAATTGGCCAAAAAACAGGATATCGATATCGATTTTTATCGATTGCTTGGAAACGAAGTAAGTTATCGATTATCGGAAACAAACTCGATCTGCGCGGGAACTAGGAGCATCTACATCTAAAATTTCAAGCCTCTAGCTCTTATAGGTTCTGAGATCCTTGCGTTCATGCATACCAACAGACGGACAGTCAGACAGACGGACATGGCTAGATCAACTCGGCTATTGGTGCTGATCAAGAATATATATACTTTATGAGGTCGGAGAGGCTTCCTTCTGCCTGTTACATACATTTGGATTGTGCACAAATACAATATACCCTTATACCCATTTTTAATGGGTTCAGGGTATAAAAATATAATAAACCAAAGGCAAAAGAAAACAAAAGATTTTGTTATTAGTTTTGTTTATTACGTTGTTATTGTTATTGTGCTCTTGTGTTCTTGAGCTTTTGTTATTGTTTGTGAGTTGTCTTTTGACAGCAAATGCTGCCGGAACATTCGATTCGATGAGTTTGCAGCTTGTCTGGCAAATTGCAGCATTTAGAAACCGACGTGTGTCAGCGACATAAATATCTGCTCGTCATCATAGAGTCAATCATGGCTATCTTTATGATACAGCACACGGCACTCTCATAGCTTTTGACATTTGATAACTGGCCTTTTGTTGTTGTTGTTGTTGTTGTTGTCTTTTATCAATTTCACAACGCCAAATGTGCCTGCAAATGTGGCATACACAGTAATTGTTGCCCTAGGCTCAGCTGGCAGCAGGTACTCGTGTTCACACTAAATAGAAAATACGTCTACTTGCATGAAAATAATATTATGCATACGCCCCGTTGCCGCGGAATGGTGTCAGACAAACTCAAGACACAAGCTGACAGTAGCAAAACTCTTTATCATAGAACGTTTGGAGAAAACAGAAACAGAACTTAAGCCAGCCAAGTTAGCTAAAAACGGGGCAGCAATTATTTGTGGACAGCTTTGTGTGCACCTGAGCTAGCCCCAAAGCCACAGAAAGCTACAACAACTGCGCCAATAAGCTATCATATATATGATATATACAAATATTGGATTTGTGCACTTTGCAATAAATATCTAAGAAATAAAAAAATGACTGCAAAGCAACTTAGCAACAATCGGGCAGTACGTGGCAGCCGCTAGTCTGGCAAGCTGGCATTCAAAAAAAGGAAAAGAAAAGAAAAGTAAAACTTATTTATATTTGTTTGATAAAATAGCCAAATGCCGCAGTGGCACTTAAAAAGCACTTTAGGCGTATTGTTGATTCATTCCGAGCTCGATTAGAAGTGCAAATACTTCACAAAAAAATCAAGTTTTCAATTTGAAGATTGATGAACGTTAAGCAAACAATTAAGCATATCATAAAATCATTTAAAAGCGCCCAGAGGCTAATTATAGAATGCAAAATGCGGCAGCTGATAAGAAAATAATATATAATATGGCATAATATAATAAAATGCGCGTAGGCCAGTGTCTGGCTATACGGGAACAAAAAAGAAGAGACCAGAATGAACGAAACGCCGAAGTTGAAATACGCTTGCAAGGAAGGGTTTGATATAGTAGTCCGATGCGACAGCTACAACAAGATATCTTAATAAACACAAAAGTCTGCCGTACAATAACATATTTTCGGACCGAATTGTTCCTCTTGAAACTATATTATATTGTAGTCCAATCCAAAACTTTTAAATGCCAAATTTGTTAAAGATGTCTTGAATAAGAAACAGATATTCATAAAAGAACTCAATTCTCAAGCGATCGTTCCTATATAACTATAGCTGGACTGTTGATACTTATCGAGAATATATATGCACGTTATGGACTCGTTGATGCCTGCTTCTGTGCATGACACACCATTGATACCCTGTACAAGAGCATTAAAGCACAAGCTGAACAATCAAATTGTTGTTGACAAATACGTGCTAAAGTCAAATTTGTCTATTTGCACATTATTTTCGCCTATTTGTGACTGAATTTAAAGTCAAGGCGCGTGGCATAGTTCAAGCAACTCTTCCACTCTCTCCCTCTCTCTCTCTCTTACTCTCTCTCTCTCTCTCTCTCTCTCTTACTCTCTCGGGTCAGTGTACGCATTTAACAATTTACAGAATCTTTAAATTTGCATACAACAACAAATAGCAGGCGGTCACGTGCCGTATACTTGATTTAATAAGTATTAAGTATACGGCATGTTGCACATACGTGTGGTGGGGAGGGGCAGGGGAGTGGAGTGTGTGGGAATGGGGACCGTAATTTGCATAGCTTTTGCGCCGATCACAAGGGAAGTCCAATGCCTTGTTGACAAACCAAACAGAATTTTGTGCGAAAATTAGCATAAAGTGCAGGCCGAACCGGTTAATCGTTAAACCGTTTCAAACGAGAGGGTGAGAGCTCCCTCAATGCCGAACTACGGCTTATAATTGAATTAAACTTGTTGGACTGAAACTGAAACTGAAGACTTGACTTGATTTGATTAAATTATATTTGTCGTGTCCGTAGATCACATGCCCGGGAAGCTGGCTCTTTTTTATCTATAGACATCGTTAGCGTTGTTTATGGGCCCGATAAGCTGTGACAATACGATATTGTCTAGTCTAACAATAAAACAGACGCACTTCATACTCTATACAGGTGTTGGCGAGCCCATAAAGCATTTAGCCACGATTACACCCATATAAGCCTGCTTATCAGCTGATACACAAATTTCGTCATAAATCATGATATGCGATGCGCCTGTCAAAATGTTAACAAGTTCTTAATGTATTAGCCAGACACCTATGACATTTTGACAGCCCGTCCATACGACTTCATTCAGCTGCGGAGATATAAGCCTTTATGAATTGTGCAGCCTCTCAACCTTTTCACTAATGAGAACTGCCGCGGAAATTTCCCATGCATATTCTCTATATGAATAATTTAAGTCAAGTACGAAGTACAGCTCATTAGCAATTGCATTATTCGCATTACATTTAAATAACTATTCACAATAACAATAACAACAATATGATAATAAAAACTAAAGCCACATAATTCACATGCTTGGCTTTTAGTTGAACTTTTAACGTAGGCCGCAATTTAAGGCAAAATATTCGTAACGTATTTTCAACTAAGCGCATGGTAAAAACTTCCTATTTAACTTCAAGTTAAACACCATGTTAACTAATGGCATACTGTTAAAGCTGTGCAAGGGAAATTCGAAAAAGGGAAATTCTGCTTAGCAGGGAAATTTCCAATACTAATTAAATCAAAAATTTGGTAACTAGTCTCCAGAACATTTCCAATCTTAATTATTAATAAATAAATTGAATTTTTAATTAACTTACGTGCAATAATTAGCAGCATTTTGTGCTCTTTTATGGCCGTCAGCATTTTCGTGAATGTCTTATATGAACTCAAGTAAAGTTTATGCATTTATATTTATATTTAGACACGCGCACAAATTGTTTATTTATGTTTTACACAAAACTGTATTCGACTTTCTGCTTAAATAAACTAACGTTTCCGCTTTAAAACAAAATCAAATGAATTCCACAACGACAATTGACAATCAATAATAAAATATTGTGCATATAATATTTCAAGTAAATCGTTTGCTTTCAATTGAATTCGAATTCGAATTCGAATTCGAATTGGAATTTGAGGCAACACGCGCCTCAGTAATAGTGTTCGGGTTGCCCCCCTCCCCCAATTCGACGTTTACCGCAAGTTCAGTGGCACTCGACGCGCTTTGCAGACACCGCGAATTGATCTTTCTGGTTCAGGTTTGTGTTGCCGACTGAGCGCAGCTCGCAGCAACTGCTGCTTGACAGCTGCTGTCGACTGACTCGAGCTGGTATGGGTAAATCCCCCCCCCTCCCCTACACACTACACACTGAATCACACCAGCACACTAGCACACACACACACACGCGCAGAACCGGTTGCGCGTTGATCGCGACGCGGCTTCAACTCGTTTTTTTTAAGCTTTCTAGGCAATAAGTAATTTCAACAATTTGCGTTTTGTCGTTGCTTTTACTTAGCGTAACGTGGCTAATTGCAGCCACTGACCAAAGCCAAGCAAATGGCTAAAACCAACAACAGCAGGCACAGCAACAACAACAACAACAACAACAACTGTCGCAGCCGGCAATGCAAAAGGCAACTGCAGAGCAATTGCCGCGCGCAGCGTTTTGCTCTGCACTTCACACGCACACGCACGCACACAAGCACACACACACTCACACTCACGCACACACGCGCACTGTTGTAATTTATAATTATATACACACATACACATACATATACACAATAGCAGCTCATGTAGGCAACATTTTCGTTTCTGTTGTCGCTTTTGTTATTTTACACATTTCTTGAATTCTGTTTAAAAATAAAACGTAGAGAAAAAAAAGTGTGTCTCACAGCATTTTGTTTTAGCTGGAGGGCGTGGCCCTAAGCATATATTGATATGCTTATTGGGCCCGCAGACATGCTAATTGGAAAATTATAAAATTAACAAGCCTGACAAACTGACCGCAAAGAAGCTGCACATTTAATATCCTACACATGACTGAAAGTTGATAAGAACAAACTCTAAATATTTATTAATTGTAGTTATGTAATTGTTTTAAGCGAGGATTAAAGCCGAACCGAAAAGAACTAAAACCGGAATTCAATTTTTTTATCGAACCGCCTATCGAACTTTAAGCCGAACCAGTTGCCGAACCAGTTGCCGAACCAGTTGCCGAACCAGTTGCCGAACCAGTTGCCGAACCAGTTGCCGAACCAGTTGCCGAACCGGTTGCCGAACCGGTTGCCGAACCAGTTGCCGAACCAGTTGCCGAACCAGTTGCCGAACCAGTTGCTGAACCAATTGGCGAACCAGTTGCCGAACCAATTTGCGAAGCACAAGCATGAAATATCATGTTAATATTTAAATTTTAATAAAAAAGTAAATAAAATGTTATATTTAATTTGAAATTAAGAAGAATTCGACAAATCAAGTGTCAAAGCTAAGAGTCTCAAGTGAGCCCATATATTCCATATACCCTCAGCAGACATCCAAAAACCAGAAACCACGTGAATTTCATAATTTTCACGCTTTTGTCTTCACATAGAAACAGTCGAGATTCAGCCATCTGTCATTAGTTGTCATATCATATTTACAGCTTGGAAACAGGTTTCTGTCCCTTCCTCGTATATTCTCAAATGATTTAATTCCCAATGTGGACATAGTTTAATTAACGTCGGCCCGGCAATTGCGTTCTAGCCGACACGATTGTACGGTTTATATACGATACGTTATCTGACAACAGACTCCTTCTAGATAAAGCCGAACTGTAAAAAATAAGGTGATCAACACAAATTAATGACCTGATTAGAGACTGTAACAAGTTTGTAATTGGCGACAGGTACAATTAAAGCAACATATGGAAAATTGAGATAGTTCCGAGTTTGGCCCTGAACCTGATCCCAACCAAGGGCCGTACATTGACTCTTATGAAAACTGAATGGTTGTTTAAATTAAACATATTTGATTGATTACTTTGTAGTTTCATACAATTGATTTACTTTATTCAGCTACCTGGCGTTGAACTTGCCCAATGCCAATTGTCCAGTTTTCGACTGAACTTAAGATAGGTTTGACACTGGCATTGAAAGCTTTTCAAAAGTTGCAAACAAATTGTTGGCCTTATATGGTTTATTGTTGGCCAGTAAGAGATCAGGTATACCTTGATAAGTGTACAAATTGCGTGTCAAATTAATTTTAATTACGTAAAGACTTCATATGTTAAGACGAACCGGTTCAAGTCATAAGTTCCGGTTCTTATAAGCCGTGAACCGAAACTGGAACTAAGAAAGAACCAAGATAGCATAAGTATAAGTACAATAATTAACTTGAAAGGGAAATCGAATGAAACAAATAGGTTTACAAAATCGCGATTAGTAGCAAAAATTCCCTTTGTTCTAATCAAGAGTTTAGGTAGAGAAATACCAATAACTTCTCCACGCGCAATTAACTAAAGCTAAAAATAAATTTTGAATAAAGGCATATTCCGAGCCACTCTTTGCTGATTGTAACTGGTTTTCTTCTTTGCTGCTTGTTCATTTGTTTTTGTTGTTGTTGTATTTTTGGGGAGTACGTGGCTGAATCATCTGGTTTTTGGCTCTGTGTCACCAGGTGATGAAACCAGCTGTAAACTTGTGTAGCTCGCCCGCGCCCCTGGCCCATAAAAGAGTTCATTTTTAACATTTAGTTCGTTTATTTATAGTTAGTATACGTATATGTGAGTGTGTGTGTGTGTGTGTGTGTGTGTGTATGCTTTAAATTGACCGTTAGTGTTTATACATAATCGGTTTCTGCAATTACATATTTCGAATATATACTGTTGCTTACATAATACAATATCGCTTATTGATTTGTTTAAACAATTGACGACCAAGGCGCGCAATAACATAATTTATGTCTTCTTTTTCTATGTGGTATTTTGTCTTTTGTTTACATTGTTTCACAAAAGCATTTTGTATATAGGTAAATATATGTATATATATATGATACAGGTACAACTAGATGGAATGCCGCTAATTTTGTGGATTTACCATGCAGCTAATACATATACATCGAGTTATCAGTGTTTAATACTTATATTACAATTAATTAAATGGAATCTCAATATTTTCGCTAACTAGTTTAAATTGTTGTTTCGCATTTAGTTGGTAGAATTGTGTAACTAATTTCTTGAGATTTCATTAGTGTTGAGTTCTATTTGAGTTCGATTGAGATTGTGGAATGCACACTACAAGATTTGTTCAACGGCAGACAAACATTTTTAGCAACAATTATTATATAAACATAAAAAGAACATCATTTCCGCGTATATATACAAAAAACAAACAGGAGGGAATCGTATAATTAAAATTTGAGCTGCTGTTGTTGGTTGTACTTGATTAGTTAGCGTTTGAACACATTTATCCACGGTCTTATGTATATAAAACAATACTCTTAGTTTTGGCCTAAAGCTAATCGAATATCGTAAACATAAAATCAGCGCATAAAACTATAACGAATGTGCATATTTACATTGCATATCTTCCTGCTAATTACTTGTTTTCGTTTGTTTTGTGGAATTACATTCAATTACTTCGTGTAATTGGAAAAATACCTAATTCGTAATGGAACTGTTACAACAATTGCGCTGCAATAAATGTGAGTTTGGCGCCAACATGTTTTGGTTGTTATCGTCTGGCACAGGGCAGAGCAATCAACTAATTAACTATCGGCAGCCCTTATCTGTCGGGGAAGAGTGACTCGTAGCTGGGTGGCAAATCTTTGGGCGTTGCCGGCTGCTGCTGATGATCCTGCGATCCTGGTGATAAATCATGTGGCAGCATCCCATCATATGACGGCGCCGTCGGCAGCTCAATGGTGGGCACATCGGACTGAAAGCAAAGAGATTTTTATTAAATACATAATTGAGCCAACTATAATATTTGTACTTACCCGCAAACGTCGCTGATTAAAGCGAGCGGCGGACGCTTCATGGGCGTGTTGCTGTACTGTGATGCAGTTCCAATACTTCCAGCAGATCCACACACAAAAGCCGACGCCCAGCATGGTAAAGATGAGGGATGTTATGGCCGATAGAGCCACATTCGTTGTGTCCATTTCCTCGGGGGGAATGGCATCGTGGAAGCAGGTGCCCTCGTCCCGGCACGGATACATGCAGTTGGTGATATTGTCACGCACAAAATGACGCGAAATGCAAGAGTATTGATCCTTCGGATTGCATAAAAAGTCGCCCGCAAACTGGCACTCGGAATGGGCGGTCAGCACCATGCGCAGCTCCAGTGGATCGCCAAATATATGCCGATCGCGATCAATAAAGATATGCACATGCACATCCCGATCCCGCTGATCGAATATCAAACGGCCCGCGGGCCCATCAATGGAGATATCACTACAAATGCGTTCGCTGGGCGAACGATTCCCACTCGTAAATTGAATATAGTCGATGCATTTCTTGGTCACCGGATCGCTCCTGAACTTCAACCGCGTGATGATTGTGTAAATGCCACGCGGCGGACGATCGTTGGTCTGGACACGGAACTGGCAGTCGTATTTGATTTTATTGGCCGAATGGCCAAAACTGGGCAGCGTCACATTCCAAGTTTGTGTTATAATGGCGCCCGAGTCGTGATCTTCGGTAAGCCGTAGCGTTGGATCGCCACGGAAGGGTTTGGCCAGCGTATAGATGAGCTTATCCGAGCATAGATTATCCTGCAGGCGCACAATTTTGTAGCCAACAATTGCAGTTGGCGCATAGAACGCAATTGCAAGCGTCAATTTGAGTAGGGAATAAACGGAGCATTTATTCATTTTGTTAACGGCACGTCCTGCGTGAGTGCGTCCGTGCTTGTTAGTGCGGCACGTCCTGCGTGCGTGCTATATGTGCCTCAATGTAAATGCAGACATACACGTTCGTTTGTTTGTTTCTTTTTATTGTAAATGTTTAAAATATTCCACGAATTTTTGTTGTTTTGCATCTGTGCCAGGGCTGCCAGACTACCAAGGCTAGCCAGGGCTGTACACTTTAATAAATTGTTAGACTTATCGGCGTATTGATAGTCGATATCGATGTATCCACCTGCAATTGTTGTTAACGGTTACGACGGTTCGAGATAAGAAATTATTTTTATGACAATTTCAATTGTTTGTATTTTAAGTTCTTTACAAATTTAATTTAATCTATAGAGTAATTAGTAAGCCTAGTATCGTAACAATCGATAGCTAACACTAAGCAACAGCTGTTTTGAAAGCTCTGCGATTAGTCTGTTAAATAACATTTAAAGCGCCATGCGCTGTTATGTTTGAACAGCCGTTGAAAACAACTTCTGAGCGTTAAATCATGTCTCAGACCATTTTCGTGCATCAACCGTATTAGTAAGTTACATTTAGCAAGTCCAACAGGCGAGTAAAAGCATTTTTTGTAGTAGCAAATTAGCCCGCGCTGCTTATAACAGTGCAGCAAACTTTAATGTTTTAGGGTGCCCACAGCCCGTTACATTAACTAACCACACACAACACGGTTGCAGCACCCCGCGCGCCGAGCAACATTATTTATATTTTTGTTAATTTCTAATAAGTCAGTAGACGCCGGTAGTTGTTAAAGGAGCAAAATCTTACGCTGAAAATCATTTATTTAATTGTGAATCTCTTAGAACACCTGTGCACTGAGCAGTTGTTGCTGTTGCCGCCTCGTAATATGCCTGATCGGCCGTTGCCGTCACGCAAAAAAAATCCTGCTGAGCTATTTCTAGTCAACCTCAACGTGAACGCAAACTGATGGCGACATCGGACTTTGTACTGGGCGGCCTGGCCTCTGTGGGCGCCACACTTTTCACCAATCCCATAGAGGTTATCAAGACGCGCATACAGCTGCAGGGCGAGCTGGCGGCAAGAGGATCCTATGTGGAGCCCTATAGAGGCGTCCTACGGGCGTTTATCACAGTCGCCAAAAATGACGGACTGAGGGGCCTGCAGAAGGGCCTGACGCCGGCGCTCTACTTTCAGTTCATCATCAACTCCTTCAGGTAAGCGAAGATCTGGCTGCTGCTTGCTTCATTCTCACTCAAAGTTTGCAATTTCATCATCAGGTTGAGCATTTACACAAAAGCGATGAACATGCATTGGATGCACGATAAGAAGGGCGAGGTCTCCTTTGGCCTGGGTCTGATCTGGGGTGCAGTGGGCGGCATCGTTGGCTCCTACTTTTCTAGTCCGTTTTTCATGGTAAGCGAAGCGTGAGGCTGTTACATAAAGCATGCCCCATTTAGACAACTTATCTATATGTTCGCCCAATGTCAAATATTGTTTGACGCGCGGCATCATGTGCGCTAATTTGAATTGCTGAGCAAGCAATGCCATGATTTCGGCTTAGATAAGACCATAATTACATTTGATAACACGCGTCTAATAATCTGCCCCCGCTCTTACAATGCTTGTAGATTAAGACGCAGCTACAGTCGCAGGCTGTCAGAGAGATTGCCGTTGGCCATCAGCATGCCCACAAATCGATGAGCGGCGCGTTCCGGGATATATATAGCACGGGCGGCATTGCCGGTCTCTGGCGCGGCTCCCTGGCCGCTTTGCCAAGAGCCGCTGTCGGCTCCGGCGCCCAGATAGCCACCTTTGGCAAGACAAAGACGCTGCTGGTGGAATACGATTTGGTCACGCAGCCCACATTGAACTCGTTCTGTTCTGGTCTGATTGCCGGTTCGATTATGTCCGTGGCGATTACGCCGCCGGATGTGATTAGTACACGCATGTATAATCAGGGCATCGATGCGCAGGGTCAGGGCCTTAAGTACAAGGGCTGGCTGGATTGTTGCATAAAGATCCTGCGTACCGAGGGCATATATGGTATGTATAAGGGATTCTGGCCCAACTATCTGCGTATCGCACCACACTCCACTTTGGTGTTGATGTTCTTTGACGAACTGCTCGACCTGCGGGAGAAATATCAACCTAAATTAGCGCACTCTTCCTAGTGCTGTTCTAGTCTTGTTTGTCTAACGCTAAGTACAAATTTGTATAATTGTTGCTAGTTCTGTTGAAACAAAACGGAAATGACCAAAATTGCTCCATTCCCAGACTCAACCCCCCTCCCCCCTTCCTCCCTAAAGCGTGCTCAAAGCTGTCTAATTAGTATTAGCAGCTGTATTTGCGCCTTTATGACCAATTTCTTAATGGACGGTTTAAATGTGAGGAGAGAAATGCAAAGAGCTAATATTTGCAAATCCGTTAGCTTTACAAGTTAACCAAAAATTAAGAAATGGACTTAGCTAAGCTATTAGTATCCTGTAGCTAGTAACTATAACTGTGCAATACTTTTATTTTAATAAAACGCGTTATTTTGTTTATATTTTCTTTTAATTTTCTTTAATTTATTATATAAGTACTGTAGGAGTTGTAGAAATTAAATTAGTAAACCGATTGAATTTCACAATTAAAAAGATGTTGGTGCGCCATGTTTGCGTCACGTTAAGTTGGCTGCAAGCGCAAATTTGAGTCGCTGTGGCGGTCGGTCGATTGCAGTGACTCCACAGATTATCTGTATCGAAAAACTGGAACAACGCTGATGAAACTAGTCGGCGACGCATATTAAATCAATTAGTTGCTGAAATTAGTAGTTAACTATGGCTACACAATTGTCCCAGGTAACGCAATGGTTGGACAACTCAAAGGAGTCCGTGAACAGAGCGCTGCGTGACCCCGCCAAGCCTTGGACCAAAGGCTTCGATCTCGTGGAGCAGCGAACTGGCGTCGATAGAATAAAGATATTCACTGGTGAGTTCCGTCTCCAGCAAAACTCAACGTCCTTCACAGTCGGTCAGGACTACACCTTGACGCACCCCCGCCGACTGCATAATACGTGGCTACGCATCATGACTAAGTGGAATTTTCAGCATTTATAAATAGCAATCGCAATCTGTTATAATGCAGTAAGGCAAACATGTCATGCGGGCGCCAAAATAGGTACAATTGTTATACTAGAAAAGCAGGCTGGGATTACTGTTAGAACTAAATACTTTTTACAGCTCCACACACACAGACGCACACACAATGCTCGCTCTCGCACACACACACACATATGCGTGCATATGCGAGCAGCCTATATGCGTGTGTGTATATTTTTCCATAAACGTTTCGCTCTTTTTTGTTTACTTCACATACAAATGCAGTAGCGTACATTTTGCCCATTGTGGCGCACATTCAATACTCGAGTTTTTCGCGAAATCGGAACAAAAAAATATTACACAAACGTATATTTTTAATTGGCAACTCAAAAGGTCAAGCTCAGCTTCGACTTTGACCGCGTAGTGTGCTTTCGTGGCATTTTGTACACGTGTATATAGACGTGCGACCAGGTGAACACACAAACATACATACACACATATGTGTGTGTGTGTGAGTGTTATGCTGTAAAAGTAACAACGCAGCTGTGATAAAAGCCCTACCCGAAAAGCCTTAAATGTGGCTTTGGGATTATATTATGCTAATAAAACAGCGGCAGGCGGTGCGTCGTAATGTTCGAGTGCCCGTGGTCTATATTGGCTCAGGTGAGTCGCCGCCCGTTGTCTGTGCATGTGTGTGTGTGCGTGTGCGTGTGTGCGATGCTTGTGATTCGTCTGTCGACACATTGGGTACAGTAAAAAAAAAAGGAAGGGAAATTCATTAGTTGAGGATGTGACGTCACTGACGATAATTAATTGCAAACCTCCAATTGGGAATCAATTATGCGCCGCCGTCGTCCGCTCGAACCGGCAGGTAATGCAACACTGGCCGCTGGGTTTTGGGCTTGGATCATGGCAATGCTGAGGTACAAAACATTTATAATTTATAGGCGAATCGCGCGTGGCCAGATATCAAGTGCAGATATGACAAGAGCTAAAAGGTTAATAATAGACACACAGATGCGCCACGCTGCAAATGCAACGAAAAGGGCAATCGCATTTGATAGTTCCGATAGAGCACAGCCAGATTGAGATCAGAGCTCATGGCGTTCGAGGCGTTGGAAGATAAGCTAGTTGAGCTCTTCAGAGAGAATCCGATTGTGCGCTTTGGTAGATTAGCAATAAGTCAACGTTAAACACTTAACGTATATTAACTTGAAATTTCTTATAGGTGCCGCCGCATTCTGTGCGCTCTATCTGATATTTGGCTGGGGCGCTCAGCTCTTGTGCAATATTATTGGTGTTATGTATCCGGCGTATGTGTCCATTCATGCCATTGAATCAAGTACCAAGCAGGATGACACCAAATGGCTAACGTACTGGGTGACCTTTGGCATATTCACAGTCATTGAGTTCTTCTCCCACGTTCTGACCCAAGTCATACCCTTCTATTGGTTATTAAAAGTGAGTTTCAAGTCTTTTATATGACAAACTAAAATTGGCATTAATCGTATTTACCCCCTTTTTCTTCGCCAGTGCGGATTCCTTATTTGGTGCATGCTCCCGATGGAGAACAATGGATCTGTTATCATCTACAACAAGCTGGTGCGACCATATTTCCTTAAACATCATGCATGTAAGTGATATATGCCCTTTATCTGGGACAAATCAAATTGTTAATTAAATATTTACCCTTTCAGCTGTCGACAAGATCATTGATGATGGCATGCGGAAGGCGGGCAGTGTGCTAAAAAATGACTAAATTTGTCATTTGGACTAATTCGCTTCCTTAAGCATTTGTAGCTGCCGCATCCAGGAAGGGCCTCACGCCAAATTTTATCTTCGAACACTTTTGTCCATACTATTTAAATTTATACTTGATTGTTGTTATGGCACATGCCGCGTGGTTTTGAAAACCCCTCCAATTGATGATATATATTATTATACATGCATTAGATGTGTTTATAGTGAAATCTCGGCTTGTTACACATAAATTGTAAAAAAACAATGACTATTTATTGAGTAGATGGATATGGATAATGCAACACACTACGCCGTCGCGGCTTTCTCAGTGGTTTCAGCTGTCGCTCCCGCTCCTGCTGCTGCTGCTCTGCGATTGCGCCAGGCGGTCATGTAGGTGCGCGGATGTACGGGCAGTAAACCGGCGATGCCTAACAGCTCGGCCGCCGGCTCGGACATATGTGCGCCTTTGCCCAGCCAGTAGCGTATGCGTTCCGTATTGAGGGCCACCAGACGTTCGTTCGATGTATTCGGCAGTGGATCGTAGGAGCCCACCTGCTCAATAACAGGCTGATGTTGGTTCTTGCGGCGCTGTAATTACGGATTCATGAGATACGTTATGGAACTTCAAAGTGAGACTCAGACCTCCATAACAACAATGTGATAGAATGGACGATTCGTGCAGCCTAGACGCACAAAGCGTATTATCTTGGCCGAGTGCTTGTAGAAGCGGCCAATGCCACTGGCAGGTGACAGGGACATTTCAGGATTTATTCAAAACTTTACTTAACAAGAAAATGTGTTATGAAAACAGACCGAAAACGATATCGATAGTCAATAAACGAGCTAGCTGTTATCGAAATATTAATTTAAAGAAATCGAATAACTTTTGACTTGCAAGATTGAAAGCAGATCATTAAATTAATTACAGGACCATAATCGAAGGACCAAGTGTGCGCTGTAAAGTGACGTAGATGTATTTAATAACACTGAATTCGTGCAACTCTGTGTGCTGTGCATTTTGTGTACACACTGGTCACTCATACAAAATGGCGTCAGCAGTCGAGCACGAACACTAAGGAATTTTTCAGTGGTGTCTGTGTCTGTGAATTTATATTGGGGTAAAAAAAACTGTGTGCGTTTATTTTGTTTATAAATTTTATTGCAAATACGGCACATAAATACATAGCGCGTACACACACACCGACACACACCAATTCAAAAGTGCGCTTATCAATGAATTGAATTGAATTTGAGGCAGCAGCAGCAGCAAGAAGCACGCCAACGCCAACGAAGTGAATTTTTCGAGGGAACGGAAAAAAATGGCGCCCGCCTGAGCCACAGAAGCAAGTTGACTTTCTTTTCGGTGTGTGTAGTTCGTCGCCGCACTCGTCGCTCGTTTTCGTCGCATATTTGTCGCGATCAAATAGTGAAAAAGAGAGAAATATTGCAAATTGCATCAAAAACGCGACATCGACGTACAGCAGGAGGCTAGTATTTTGTACGTGATTTTGTATAACTACATACATATACATATAATACAAATACAAGCAACAGAAAAGTGCAATTACATTTGCGTTTGGAAATTTTGCGCTTTTTTCTCTTTCGCCTCCCCCTTTTTCTGCTTTGCCTCATTTATAATGTGCGCTGCACAGAGCAATCCGCCGCCCTTCGGCTACACTTGGGGTTTTGCAGACAACGGCAATCGTGCCGCAGAATCAGTTTTGGAGATATCGCCAAATATTAACTACACTGTCAGTGGGGAATCGGTAAGTGAAGTCTCAATTTGTATGTATACTTCGAATTTCCTTCGTTGCATATCAATTTGTTTTATTCTTTTTTCATTGTTTCTTTCCTTATATCGAATGCGAGTGCTTTTGCAAGTGCAAGCTGCTTTGCTAAATAACCAATCGACCCAACGAACTAGCTAGCCAACCCCCTCCAGCCACCCACGTAATATATGTTGCTGTTGCTTTCCCACAGCGAATCGTGTTGTGTCTTCTCTCCGCTCCCCTTTTGTACGTTGTTGTTGGCCTAACAACAGCGCCACATACACACAAGCACACCGATTAGAGATGGCCACCTAATGGTGGTCGTGAACACGAATAACACGATTAAAGTTTAAATCTCATGAATTCTGTACTAAACATGAACAGAAATAAAAAGTGCTACTGCAGAGTACAGCTTTAAAGCACATTTAATTCCCTCTCAATACAAAATTATATAATTTTCATGTGACAAGACCTAATTGTCATTGGCTGACAAAATTATATGTCACGCTCCCATCACTAATACAGATACAGCTACGTCGTTCGCTCGCTCGCTCGCTCGCTCACTCGCTGGTTTTGCGCTCTGTATGTATAAGTGCATCGGCCATATATATGTGTATGTACGTACGCAGGGTTGAGCGCGTGTATGTATACACCAACGATATGCATACATACGTGAAGGCTCAAATACAAGAAAAAAAACCAGCTACATATACTTTTATGTAACTGCGTTGGTCATGCGAATGCGAGCGAGTGTGTTAGAATTCTTTTACCATACATTTATACGAAATTTTTTCGTTTCCATTTCATTCGTAAACATTCATAATTTGGTATTTGTAAAAAGTATGCGTACGTAAGGTACATATATAGCATACGTATGCATGTGGATTTGATTGTATGCAAACAAACAAAAATACGCACGTTGCGCTGCAACACGCGGCGGCAGCTGATTTCAATGCAACTCCCACTCTCCCGTGATAAGGCAATTTAATTAAACTATATGGTTTAATTATTAAACGTGTGGTAGGCGAAATCTACTATAGTATGGCGTTGGCAAAAGCAATCGAATATAATCGATAAACATATATATATATATATATACATAAGCATATTTTTCCTTTCATCTAATTTACTGTAAATTTATTGCATATTGGTTTTTAATCATGAATTTTTATGTTGCGTTTCTGTTCATTTTGTGCGTTCATTTTGTTTTTGTAAAACAACTTTTCTTATACAATTGGCAGTACATTTTTTCGTTGGCATGAGAGTGCAACCCTATTTCGCTGTGTTTCTGCCTTCCTCTTTGCGCACGTTTGTGAACACTTACACACGCAGGCGATGTTTCGTTGTGTTTGAATTCGCCGCCGTATGCTGGCGACCATTTTGTGTGCATGTGTGCGGCAGACGTCAATTCGCCGTTCGTTGAATATTCAACACTAACACACTCGCATCGCACGCACACCTGAATACGACGCTCTCTTACGGACGCATACACACCCAGTTTGGCATATTAGTGTGCGTGCGGTACGTGCGTGTGTTTTGATTACACTTGCTTACGTTTTGGCGCTCAACAATCTGTCAAAAGTCCAATTGTACACACGTTCACACACACATACATACACACGTACACACACACTGCTTGAGCGCAGTGGAAAAAGCGCGCGCTTTGCTGTCGCTGATTCGTATGCTCTTCTTCTTGTTCTTCTGCCGCCGCTGCTGCTGCCGCTGTCGCCACCGCCACCGCTGCTTGCATTCCTTTCATTTGGCATAGTGTTCTCTTTTTTTTTTTATCAACTGTTGCTGCGCCACTGCGCTGCGCAGGTGTAGCGTGTTAATAAGACAAAATGAACAACAAAAACAACAAAGCGCAACATAAAATACAACATACTACTATGAATCGATAATTGCAGTGGCAACTGTACTTTTGTACTAATCATTAGCATAGAATTAGATTAATTAACCTAACCCAAAACTATGTATATTGGATTAATTAATGTGTTATGCAACGGCGACTAGTGTTGAGCAACGCTGAAAAACACTTGCACTTGCATTTCCTGTAATCTGTTCGGTTTTTGGGGACAAATCAATCAATCAATATCAATCAATCAATCAATCAAGCAAACAAACCAACAATCAAACTAACAACAGACATGAACAATCAAAAGCAAAACAAATCGAGTAAAATGCTATCAAAATAACATCATCCATCATCCGTTATGAATCGTATTTGTGGAGACTTTTTGGTGCATCTGAGTTATACTGAAAACAATGTGTACACACCCGTTTTAGATGCCCTATCTGTTATCCACGGATGGATCATTGGCCGTACAAAAGGATGTTAAAGGTGCACTCAGCAGCAATAAGGGCAATGTCGTTCGGCGCATGTTCGTGGTGAACGATTCCTCATTTGCGCCCGGAACACAAAGGTGCGTTTTCAAAGACAAAACTTAAAACAATCAGAATCTCACCATAAAAAAAAAAAGATAAAAAAAAGTTCCATAAATCAAGAAAAAGCTTTAATAAAGCCTCGTTTTTTTCTCGTCTGCTTCGATGCGATCTTTCTCTCTCTCTCTCTCTCTCTCTCTCTCTCTCTCTCTCTCTCTCTCTCTCTCTCTCTCTTTTCCCATTCTCTTTCTATCTCTATCCATCCACAGAGTAATTACCACAGGCTCCGCATCGACGGTGGTCAAAAAACAGGACTCTGGTCAACAGGTGTTGAGCATAAATTCGCTCGATAAGAACTGTAAGTGTTCGTCGTTAAAATCAGTTTTTAAAAGCAAACGAAAATCTGTTTGAGAAATCAAATACAATTAGTGTTGCACGCGTTGTTGATGTGTTGTAATCGATTTGATTTGAATAATCGATCGTTAGGGGTTTTCGCTAATCGATTGTTCTCTCTCTTCTCTCTCTCTCTCTCTTTCTCTCTTTACTCCTCTGCTTCTACTCGCTACTTTCCGCTCGCTCGCTGTACTCTCCCACCCCCCCACTAAATGTAATATCCACTTTCTCGAACTCTGTTTCTCTCTCTCTCTCTCTCTCTCTCTCTCTTTGTTGTCGCTGTGTTTGCCCTTGTATTGCTGTCACGCATTACCAACACTACCAACACCACCCACCCCCTCATAATTCCCCCCCTATTCCACACCATTCACCTACTCTCTATACACTCATAATACACACGACGGGCGGCGGGCGGCGGGCTGTGGCGCATTAGATCTTTTGGTCGATCAGGCAACAGCGGCAGCAGCTGCGGCTGCAGCAGGTGGAGGTGATCCGGCGTCTGCTGCACATCATCATACATTGACAAATGGCAGCATTGTTGATGCCAAAACTGGACAAACGGTATTGAGCACATCGGGTGCCGCCGCGGCCGCGGCCAAATCGCATTTTAGCTCAATTGGTGCACTGCATCTGACCCAAGAGGAGTGCAATGAGATCTTAATCAAGCGCGCCATTGCAGCCGGCCACGGCCACCATCAGACGCACACACTCACCGCTGGCGACGGAGCGCACCACCACCACCACCACCATCATTCGACGGCGCCAGGCGCGACACCAAGTAAGCATCTCAAATCTGTGTTGTGCTCGAATATCTCCTCCTTCTCCTCCTACAACTCTCCTCTACTGTTCTACTGCTCTACTGCTACTGCTACATTCTGGCCTTTGGCACTGGTATTCGGTGTATTCTCGTTGCTTACCCGTTGCGTCACCTTACGTTACACGTTTACGCAACGTTACGTTACGTCACCGTCTCGTTACGTTGCGTTACGTTTGCGTTCCTGCTTACCGTATATACAACTGTTTTTCTTTTTCGGTTCAAAATTCAATTTTGATTTGTTTTTTTAGTTTAGTTTTCGTTTTCTAAAAATATACAAAAAAATAAAATATTTTTATTTTCTTTTCTTTTCCTTTTTTTTTTGTTTTTGGTTTTTTGTTTTCTGTTCGTTCTGTTGAGTTTGTGTTTGGTTCGTACTTTTGATTTTCTTTCTTTGTTTTTCTTCTCTTTTATTTTTGATATCTTCCTTTGAATTCCATTTGGTTATTGTTCCGTTGGCGGTGCAACAACACTCTTAGGTGACATACTTCCTGGTATTTCAGTTCAAGTACAGAAAGTAATACAAGGACTCGAAGAGAACGAGGACTCGCAGGGCGACGCACCCAACTTAAAGTTGGAGCCAGGCACATTAGAATTGTCCCCAAAGACCGAACTACAGGAATCAATGCATTTCAGCGAAGTAAGCCCAACATTTATGCTACACAAAAAACATACACACTTTAACAAATCAAATCAAATAAATTAATTTAAAAAAAAAAAGAATAGTATATTTATAAATGAAAAATATCCCCCGCGTTTATTAAATAGTAATCAACGTCTCTCTCTCTCTCTCTCTCTCTCTCTTTCTGTCTCTTCCGTTGTCCCGCTTTATTCTCCATTTTAGACCGACGCCACCATCAAAAAGGAGCGCCCGTACAGTTGTGACGAGTGCGGCAAATCCTTTCTGCTCAAACATCATTTGACAACACACGCACGCGTGCACACAGGTGGTTGTTCTTGTTCCTAGCACATACCCATTATCAAAGCGAGCAGGTCTAACCCCCCAACACTCTCTTCCCCCTTCTCTCTCTTTGAATCTGTTCACACTGTAGGCGAACGTCCACACATTTGCACCCATTGCGGCAAAAGTTTTGCGCACAAACATTGTCTAAATACGCATCTACTGCTCCATTCGACGGATCGGCCATATCAGTGTCAGGAGTGCAAGAAGAGCTTTACGCTTAAGCATCATCTGTTGACGCATTCGCGTGTCCATAGCCGGGAGCGGCCATTTGTGTGCCAGGAGTGCGGACGTGCATTTCCCCTCAAGCGTCATCTGGTCACGCACAGTAAATTTCACGCCGGCGAACGTCCCTACGTCTGCGAGGAATGCGGTGAGAGTTTCGCACAGGAGAATCACCTGATTATGCACTCGCGGTTAGTAGCAGACACTCTCTGTCTTACCCAATACTTTAACTAAAGCAAGCAAATTGTTTTGCAGCTTTCATGGTTCATTGAATCCATTTGTTTGTGCTGATTGCGGTGCCTCGTTTCCACGCAAATTTCAATTGGTTAATCACGGACGCATACACGGCAAGATACCACACTCCTGCACAGTTTGCGGCAAAGAATTTCTACAGAAGCGCACCCTAGTTTCCCACATGAGGTAAGCCGTCTTCTGTCTATGCTCCAGCTCAATTCCATGCACAGTTTTTACTTACATTTTTTTTGGGTTTCTTAGGCGCGTACACACCGGCGAGCAGGCGCATCCCTGCGTCAGCTGCGGCGAAGGTTTCCTCACCAAGGCGGAACTGCATCAGCATGTCCGTGCGGCGCACAACGGCGTCAATCCCAATACGAGCAGCGCCACCATTATAGCCAATCAACAGGTATGCTTAACAAGTTTAACACAATTCGTGCATCATGTTTAATTAAATTGAAATTCAAGCAGATACAGCAGCCGCATCATCATCCAGGGCATCCGCAGACGATCACCGTTGTCAGCAATCCGGCTAATTCAACGCTGCTCACCGTCTCCACAACCGATGCCAATGGCGTTGCACGTCCACAATTCGTTTGCCGGTAAGAGATGGACAGATGGCTGTCATTCCAGGATTGACATTGTTTTAATAATTAAACTTTTGGTCGTTGCAGCGAATGCGGCAGCGCGTTTAACAGCCGGGAGGCGCTCGCCTTGCACTTGCGACTGCACACGGGCGACAAGAGCCTTATGACCGATCTGTGCGCTTTGACAGCAGCGCTGCCCGGCCACTTTTTGAGCACGGCGAGCCTCAATCCGGGCACTGTGGTAACGGCCAATCCGAATCTGGTGGGTCAGAGTCCGGTGCCGGTGCAAATCATATCATCCACCGGTCAGGTGATGTCGCAGACCACGCTGGTGCAGGCCGCCAATTCGACCCATCCGCAAGCGGTTGTCACAGCCGTGCCCACAATGCCCGTCCATGGGCAACAGCATCTGCAGCACATCCAGCAACAGCAGCAGCAACAGCATGTGGTCACCGTATCGCCGGCCAACAAGCCAAAATCGCATTTCTGTGCCAGCTGCGGCAAAGGATTCGCCGCCAAGCACGGCCTCATGCAGCACAATCGACGACATCCAAACGGCGGCTGCACGGTGCGCACCCATGTCTGCGAGTGTGGAAAGGCATTCTTCCAAAAGAACCATCTGATGCTGCATCAGCGCCAGCATTTGGAAACAAAGCCAGCCATATCGCAGCAACAGGTATGCTAGGCGCCCAGCCCAAGGCCCAAAATATCCCAACGCCCAATACATAGATACTACCCACACACACACACACACATATATATATATATATATATATTATATATGTATTATATATATATATATATTTATGTATTCAATTAAATTTCAATTATTGTGTTTTCCATTTGGTTTGATTTATACAACAAAAACAAAAAAAAAACGAAAAGAAAGAAAAATATATATAAAAACTGGCATAAATTAACATATAATTTAATTAGTTTTATATTATGTGGGAGCAGTTAGTTAAGCCTCTAAGCTATGCAAATTAATTTAGCTATTAACTCGAACTAAGCAATTGTTACCGAGTATCAACAATAACAATAACAATAACAATAATAATAATAATAATAAAAAAAAAAAACAACACCAGAAGTTAAATGCTTTAAGTTAAATGTAGGTAGATCTCGAGGCTTTTGTGTCGGTCTGTTGAGAAACTTTCTTTTCTTTCTGCATTGAACTCTATTCAAGTTTATTTCCCGATTAGCTTAATATAAATAAAATAATAACAGCAACTAGTTACATACAAACATAACTTTCAAATTCTTGTGTTGCGTTTCTTAATGTTTTATTTTAAATATATAATTCTGTAAAATGAATTACAAACAAAGAAAAACAAAAACAATAATGAAAATCACGAAATGATAATTAATTAACTTGGAATACTTGCAGCTTGTTGTACCAACTACTTCTTACTAAATAAACAATAAAGAAATAGATCAACAAGATCAACTGAACAATAATAAAAGCTAAAGAAAACTACTTACACTCACACACACACACAGGCACACACACACACACACACACGCATGCACACACGCACACTCACCACCTGAATGTTCGTAAATACCAAAGCAAATTCTATTTGTAAAGTGCCGTCTGTCTGTGTGTGCGTGTGTGTGTGTGTGTGCGTGTGTGTGTGGCAGACTCTTTGAAAAGAAAAACTTGATAAACCAATAAAACCAAAATAAAACATTGATCAAAAATACTACAGTAAAAACGTTACAATATTCTGTATTCTGCGTGTACGCAAAAAAGGCTTCACTGTGCGCGTTTTAGGTGTGTATAAAAAATAAAAACAAAACAAAAAATATATATATTCCAAATTTATCGCTAATTGTCCCAATAAACAAATACTATAACTTACGTATAATTGTCATGTGTATTTAGCTATGTGTCCTATAATTATTTATGTACAATTATTATCTTTTTTTTTTTTGCGTGTCTGTGCCTGTTGTCTCTCTGTGTTTGTTGTTGTTGTTGTTTTTTGTGTATTTACCTATTTAGCTATACCCTAGTTTTCTGTGCTCTTTGTTAAATGTATTTTCATGCCCAAAAACATAAAAACATATAAACTATAATTTTGAAATGTTGCGACCACGAACCCTTTTCAATTTTGCTTGAGCGTAATTTTAGTTTAGTTTTTATAAATACATTTGCTATATATAAATACATTTAATTGATATTGTTGTTGAGCCACAAAAGATTTGCTAAAGCCTTGAACTCTTTGCAGGAGGCCGACGTGCAGCAGCAGCAGCAGCAGCAACAACAACAACAAGCGGCCGCTGCCGCTGCCGCCGCGGGACAACAGTCCACACAGGTGGAGGTGCAAATAATGCCCGGAGGTCATGCCAAGGTCATCAAATACGAGATCTGTCGAAATGTGCTGCAGGAGGAGCAGGCGGGGCAGCAGCAGCAGCAACAGCAGCAGGCGTCCATGCATGCTGAATAAGAGATAGGAGGAGGGAGGAGGTGGAGAAGGGAGCAGAAAGGGGGAGAGAGATAGTTGATTCAATTTGATAAGCGCAGTTAATTTTATAGCATTTTTGTTGTAACTTTTTGTAAATATACAAAGCCAATTTGTGCAATTGCAATTGCGCGGCAAAAGATTGCTCCCCACACACACACACACACACACATATGTACACCCACCCACGCACACAAGCACAGATATATATATACAGATATATAGAACTTATCAAGAGGGCAGCTTTTACAGGCCACACCCACCCACACACACACACACACACACACAACAGCTAAAAGTGAATGAGAGATCCTGGAGCGTATTTAAGAGTTAAGCGATTCCCTTAGTTTTATTAATTTAGTTACCATTTAGCTATTAATAGACACCTAGCTATACACACCACACACAAGTACACACACACCCGCACACATATGTACATCAAATACAATTGTAACTGTAACTATAGATATCCTGTTATAATTTCTTTGTGATGCATTGGTCGCATCTAAAACAAGAACCTCGTCTAAGTTGCAAAAGTTTTTATCTAATTACATTTTAATTGTAACTTTTTAAACACACACACACGCACATATGTATACACACACATATATATATATACAAATTGAAATAAATATCTATATATATATATATGTATGTATATAGCATATGCCTAAACATATATCGCCTAACTGTAAACTATGTATACATATTAAAAAAGAGAAAAATAAATATTAAGCATAAAAACAACTACAACTACGTTTAGTTTTAGGCACGCTAATTAACAATTATTATTATTATTATTATAATTACAATGAATACGTACATTTGCGAACAGCACTCAGCGTCGCGATCATGTTATTGTGGGCGTGATCGTGGGCGTTTGTCCAGCACACACACACACACACACACACAGACAACATTTTCAAGCTTGTACATAAAAAGTAAAAGAAAAGAAACTTGCAACGTGTAACTACAACTAGAACTTAAGTGAATGCAAAACAGGTCTAAACAAACATTTAAAATAAAATAATGAATATTCAAAGAGGAGTGTAGCCGGTTCGGTTGGGGGCGGCCACGCCCACGCCCACAGGCGAGACTTGGAAGTAGGTGCCTGGCACAATAACTAAAGAGAAAGAAACTTGAAATACGACAGCAAAAGTAGAGTAAAAGGCAAAACAAAAGTAAATATAGAAGCATAAATAGTTGATAAGTAACGTTTAGTTGTGTAACAAAATTATAGACAACCGTAAATAATGCAAAATTGAAAAAGAATAACAGTTAGTTTATAGACACGCCCACACACACACACACACACACACACACACACACACACACACACACACACACACACACACACACACACACACACACAGTTCCATCAATAAATGCACGCTTTTTGTGGCAAGATAGAAACCAACAAACAAATCTATTATCAAAACTGTAAAAATACATTTAAAACAAAAACAAAAAACAAAAAAAAACAAAACTTATACCTTAACGTTAGGAATGCGTTCAAATAAATGCAACAAGTAAATCGATAACATAATCCGATAAATAGATGAACCTAATATTAAGCGTATATTTTAATATGTAAGCCTTAAAGAAAATACGACTATGAATAATAAAAAAAAAAAGAATGTGTAACTGTAATTATTGACAAAGCTTGGCAATCACAGTGTGACCGTATTCAATTGAATTTTTGTTCAAAATGGAATTGCGCCTGGTTCGCTGAACGGTTCGGTTCGGTTCAGTTCGTGCATCGGGTTTTTCATATCAATTGAACTAGTTCTTTTTCGTTGATTCGATTCATTTTTAAAAAGGAAATAATTCGGTTTATCAAACAAAATTACATGTAATTAAATACTCAGTTTTCAACTTTGCTTTTAATGTTCTTTTTTTTTTTACTTGATTTGAAATATTTAAAGGAAATAATTAATTTTTTAAATTAACATAATTTCTTGTAATTAAATAATAAGTTTTTATTCTTGATTTAATATTTTTCTAATTCCAAATATCCTAAATTTATGTAGTGTGCCAAAACTAGCACTAAAACTTCTTCCAATATTCTGATTTTCTAATTAACTAAAGCTTGGGATTCGTATTCTTATTGGACTATTCTCCAATGAGTCCAACAAGTCCATAATCACGCACGCCTCGGATCGCGAATATTTTGGCAGTATCTTTCAGTTTGTTGAACATTTTCATGTTGATGTCATACATAATTGCAAATTGGCAGCAAAGTAAAAACATTAGTCAAATCGTTTATAGTTCTCAGATAACAAAGGCCTCGCTTTCTACAATAACAATTGTTGGCCAAAAGAAATGTTGTTTGCAAATGCTTTAATAATTTATTTATAGATTGGCTGATTAAACAAACAAACAAACAGAACAATTGTGAGCCAAAAATGGAATTGTGCATTGTGAACTGTGAATCAGCCGGCGATTGGCTTGATCCGAGTTCGTTCTCTTCTCCGGGCAGCTACTTAAAGCGTTTTATTGTTAGGTAATAAGTAAACAGGTTAGTCAAGCAAGTTCTCTTCTAGTCGAATAAGTTAATATATGTATAACATTCTCAGGAATTTTACTCAGCCTGATACATGTTGAGTTCCCAGTTAGATAAGATACAAATACCCATACACAGCAAACATGTGTGTAGCTTCGGTTTGTTGTGCGATAAAGCGAAAATGTTTAGCATTTTTTATTACTCATACCCATTAAGCGTGTTAACGTGGTCTAAACCAGTTCTGAAAGGGTTTAAGTGTGATAAACATCGAGACTAATGTACGTATGCATAATGTATCTCAAGGTTCAATGCTCCAGTATCTGAATTATTTAAAATCAGATAACTTTCGCAAATGTGTAGTAATTGTTTACAGATTTGGTTTGGCTATATTTGAGCATCTTTAGCAGCAATTCCGAAAGTTTCATGATAATCGCTTAATAACTACGCGAGTTATGCAGCATTGAAAGTAGTACAGGGTATAGCTAGGTCTGCTATTCGCCCTCCGGCGCTTGCTAACTATTCGTAATCATTTCGACTTAATGTAGCAAATAATTAGCGTTGTTTTTACATGAAGTCACGAAGCTACTAACCAAAAAAAAAAAAAAGAAAAACTAAAACGATTTGACCATATGGCTTTCCTATGGAAAGCACGTACATATCAAACATTTGACATCGAGTCGTCACATCTCATTCATAATTTCAATAGTTTGTTAATTGTTATTGTTGTTGTTATAAATTATTGTACAATTACGTGAGGCTTTTGCCTGGGATTACATCATCCTGTCGACCTTATTCCCGCATGCAATTGTGCCCTAAAAGTGCATTGCCTGACAATTTTGGGATCTTATTTTCGGCATGCAAACCTTATAAGGGCCTGACATGGGCACTCGCTAGCTTGTCTTCGTTTATTTTTTATATTTACTTTACATTTTTTTGAGCATTAAATTAAAATTAATTGTGCTTGCACAAGTGGCGTATAAACATTTCGTGGTTTGCCTTCGCAATTCTGAATTTCAAATTCAATTCCAAGGAAAAGTCCGTGACATGGCAAAAGATGTCATCATCCCTCCAAATGGAAACAAACTCCCAACTGAACGCTGCACATTATTCGAAATATTCTAATTGGACAAATGCAACAAATTCCAACTGGTTTACCAATTGTGCACATTTGTCTTTAATCTAGTTGGCGAATTCGGGTCGAATTTTGCGACTGTGCTTTGAATTTCAAATTTGTTTTATTTACCCACAGTGCGACTTAATTGTTATTTTTGATTTTGTTGTCTATTTTTGTTATTTTTTTATGTTTTTTTTTTTATTTGTATGTGTGTGTGTGTGTGTGTGTGTGTGTCGGCGCGGCAAACAAGTTTTGATTGCTCGAGAGCCTCGCATGAAAATGAGTCTTGGCTGATGACGTCATAAGTTGACTGTCGCTGCGAATTAAGCAACAATTGAGTTTAGTTTTCTTGTTAAGATTTAACTGTGTGCGCCTGTCTATGCTGCATTTTGGAGGTCGAATTGTTTAAACTTCAACCTGGTTGTCTGTCTGCCACAGCATATTATATATATATCTACTTAAATAAAGGTTAGTCTGCGAGCTGCGAAGCTCTTTTTATGGGCAGAACAACTTGAGTAACACCCACCTAAGGCCGTTATAAATCAATTGAGCCATCAAATTCAGCATCAGTTCTAGCGAATGCACTATGTTGTATATCGGAGATATCTAGTCTGAGCTTATGCGGTCGCTTTATAGGCACGGATGCGCCCACGTATCCGTCGAGCCAGACATGCAAAGTATATGCAAAGCTGACTAATCGATATGTGTACATACATGCATATATATGTACATATATCTGTAACATATGTATATTTTAATTGTGCATCCAACCGCCGTACAAATACAACAACTGTCATTAATCCGGCCAATTTTGGTCTGAGCGCTAATTTTTTGGAGATCCGTTGACACATTCACAGATGCTCAGCTCAGCTCTGGCCGGCGTGTGTGTGTGTGTGTGTGTGTGCTGTAATAAAAAAATAGCATTTAAATAAAGGAGAAGAAAACGCCGCTGTTTGTTTTGGTTTGTTTGTGGCCACTTTCGAAATGAGCAATTTTCTTGTTTTCATATTGTTTTTATTGGCTTATTGAACTCGCTGCGTGGCAATAAAAAAAAGAAGGTGCCGTCTCAGCAGCGCTTAGCCTACGCATTTTACTCTCTAACCACACTCACTCACACACACACACACACACACACGCAACGCTCAAATGGCAACCTACGCGCGAGCAGCTCCGATCTGGCCAGGCTTTTTGCGAAGGCGAAGCTCTGCACCGCGCGCACCGTGCCTCTCGCTCGCTCGCACGCACGCGTGCATACGCTGCCAACGCGATGGAGCAAAGCCCACGAACGCGCTGCTGCGGCGCTGTCGCTTTTTTGGCTGGCAGAGCGCAACAGATACGGTCGAAAGCGGTTCCAGACAACCGCAGCGCTGATCAGTACGTTTTGAGTTGTGCTTCGCGACGGTTGCTGATCTTTCTCAAGTGCTCCCACGAATACGAAATATGCACGAATCTGCCCAATTGAGCATCTAAGCGAATAAAACGTCTGTGTCTCTATCTTGTCTAAGTGTTTGTTTCTCTGTGTGTGTGTGTGTGTCTGTGCTTACGCTCCCGCTCCCACTCCTGTGGTGCTCAATAGCTCACACGTTCAAGTGTCGCCCGTTACGTCGCACAGTTTTGTTTGTGTGTGCGTGCGTGTGTGTGTGTCTGTTTGTGTGTCTGTTTGTGTGTCTGTTTGTGTGTCTGTTTGTGTGTGCGTGCGCCAGTGCCACCGTTTGTCATTTTCAACTTGAATTGTGGCTCGCGCATATATTTGTGTGAATGTGTGTGTGTGTGTGTCTGTCTGTTTGTCGTGCAAGTATAAAAAATACATTATTTAAAAATAAGTATTTCGACATTCCCGGTGGAAATTATGAGACACCGCACAGATTACTAAACACCCCAATTATACTTATAGCTAAAAAAAAAAATTGAGTGACAAACCCAGCGATAATTGTGATTAATAACAACAACAACCATAACGAGATACGAACGAAAAAATTAATAACAATTAATATACATAAATAAGCAAGTGCAACATTATTCATTCCACAAAGTCAGTGATTACCTCATCTGTGTGAAAATCAAACCAACAAAATGGTATCAAAAAGCAATAAAACAAAACAAGTGTCGCAGTCGCAGTCGCCGTCGCAGTCGCCGTCGCAGCCAGCGCCGTTAGACACATCAAGCACAACCAGATCGGCGTCGGCGTCAGCGACGAAACTGACCAAAAAACTGGGTCCGAATGCGACGGCAACATTAACAACCAACACCAGCTCGACGTCAATGGAGCACGAATCTGTCTCGTACGGCGGGGCGCCTGCCACCACCAGCAGCAGCACCCCCGACGCGGCCGTCCAGGTGCAGCGGGAAGGTGAAAGTCTGCTGGCAGCCGGTGGGAAAAGCTACAGTTCGTACACGGCGAAAAGTCAAACGCAATCACAGTCGCAGCTATTTAGCAGCAGCAGCACGAGCAGTGCCAAAATCTCCAAGGATTACGCAAACGAGAAGATCATTTCGTCCATTGATCTGCTGGAGAGCGAGAAAAAGGAACCGGTCTTCTCGGTACCGATTGAGGTGGTCGAAATCACAACGCCTGGCATTATAACGTCCACCAGCGCTGGCAGCATATCCAAAATGTATGCGTCCACATCAAAAATGTCCAGTAGCCGCCAGGAGGCGAGCAGCTCCAGTTACTACGAGTCGACAACCAGTTCCAGCCAGCAACAGCGCAGCGATGCCAGCGAAACGCTCATTGCAAGCGAGAGAGCCGCTACCGGTATGACATCATCGAGCAGTAAATATGTTGATGTGGCCGAACAGGTTGTCACAGATAGCACCAATACCAACACAAACACAAACATTACCAATACCAACACCAACACCAGCGAATCTCAGAGCGTGCCAAAGTTGAAGCTGCGAACAGCTGTGGGTGTCTCCGGCGATTCGTCATCGACAACGATGACGTCGCGCGAACCGGTCGCGACCACAACAAACGGCACGACGTCATCAACGACTATGCTGAATGCCTCGCTCGATAAGCTGGCCAGCAGCAGCAGCACAACAGCTGTGGACAGAGCAACCTCGTCGACGACCAAGTCCAGTAGCAAGCAGGTCAGCAGCGAGGAGAGTACACTGAAGCGCAGCAGCACGAAGCAATCGACATCTGCCTCGAAAAAGGAGGTGTACGATGTGAAGACAAAGACCTGGAGCGAGTTAAGCGATGGCAGCACGCACGCCAGCAACAAGAAGGTGCCCACGTTTGAGCGTTATGTGAGCAGGGATTCCGATGGCACCACCAAAATCACATACAAGAAGAAGATCTATGACAGGCGCAACAATCGATGGCGCGTGGTGGATGAACGGACCGTGGACAGTGTCAACGATGTGGGCTATCCCGAAATAGTTGATGATGTCATCAATACAACAACCACAACATACACGACCAAGGTGTACGACACAAAGCTCGGTAAATGGACTGTCGTGGACGAGAAATCGTACACCGATACGAAAGCTTTTGTGCCCAATGACATTGCTCGTGAAATCGAGAAAGATAATACCGATGTGGCCAACATAACGACCACCACGGAGGTGACAAAGGTGAGTGGACTCTTGAGGAGAGGGCCCAGCCCAGGGCTGGGGTGTGCACCTCCTTTGGGGGTTGTTTTGGGCAGGTCTTGATATTAATTATATTGTACTCTTTCAGATATTCGATGCGAGCATTAATGATTGGCGTGTACTGGACGAGAAGGTGCACACGGATGTCATTGAGAAGATTGTGGAGACGCCCAAGAAGACCATATATGTGGATGAGTTTGTGGAAATCGAGAAGAATACATCAATATCGGAGAACAATGAGAATATCACGCTGAATCTGAACGAGACATCGAAACACAAAAATATTACCGAGAATATTTATGATGAGATCGATTATGTGCGCACCGATAAGAAACGCTTAGACGATTCAAGAAGCGTAAGTAGCTCGACCTTAAATTAATCATAACTAATTTTAATTGATTAATTGGATCATGTCTCTCTATCCAGCGCGGAGTCGATAAAAACAAGACAACAACACACAGTGAGAGGTGCATCTGTGAGATATGTACTTGCGGGTAAGTACTTATCTATTCAAGTCCAAGGTTGTGTACTAAGGTTTCTCTCTCTTTTAGGCGTCATCATTGCGCTACCAGCACAAAGAAATCTACAGAAACGACAATTGTGGAAATAGATGGTGAGTGCCAATAAGTTATTTAGCAATTGTGCTAGTTTTTTTTAAACAAATGTTCATTTCTTTAGATAACGTCGACGAAAGCTTTACAAGGATACGTACTAACACATGGTCTAAGAAAGACGATAACATTCCTAAGAAGAGCGAAGACATATTTGTAGATTATGTAGTGATAAAAAAACCAGAAGACAATCTAAAACCCGAAGGAGAGTTTTTAGTTCCGCAAAAAGAGCCCTACAAGCCCGGCGAAAGACGCGAAAAAATTATACACACTGATAATCTACGTATGGATGGAGAAATGACATTTGTCGAAAAAGAGGAATATCAATACGTGACACGTCCGGGATACGTAAAACCTACAGACAATCTGAAGCCAGAGGGCGAATTTTTCAGTCCCGAAAAACCCAAATATCAGCCGGGAGATCGCCCAAGCCAAGTGCGACACGCGGACAACTTGAAGCCGGAAGGGGACTTTTATAGTCCAGAAAAAACCGAATTCCGCCCTGCTGAGCGTCCATCGCAAGTCAGGCCAGAAGATAATTTAAGACCCGAAGGCGAATTTTACACTCCAGATAAACCTGGATATAAGCCAGCTGAACGGCCAACTCAAAAGAAACCTATGGACAATCTTAAGCCAGAGGGCGAGTTCGTAACACCTGAAAAACAAGTTTTCCGGCCAGCTGAGAAAACGGAAAGGGTAATCAGAAAAGATAACCTGCGTACCGAAGGGGAAATGACATTTGTGGAGAAGGAAGAGTATCAATATGTTGTTCGTCCTGAGCAGGTTAAGCCGACTGATAATCTAAAGCCTGAAGGCGAATTCTACAGTCCCGAAAAACCGAAGTTCCGACCTGGCGAGCGTCCATCTCAAGTCCGGCCGGAGGACAACTTGAAACCAGAGGGAGATTTCTACACTCCAGATAAACCAGGTTATAGACCAGCTGAGCGTCCAGAGCAGGTTAGGCCTACAGACAATCTCAAGCCTGAAGGCGAATTCTACAGTCCAGAAAAGACAAAGTATCGCCCAGGTGAGCGTCCATCTCAAGTCCGGCCAGAGGATAACTTGAAACCAGAGGGCGAGTTCTACACACCCGACAAACCAGGATACAGGCCAGCTGAGCGTCCAGAGCAGGTTAGGCCTACAGATAATCTTAAGCCTGAAGGCGACTTCTACACTCCCGATAAACCTGGATACAGACCAGCCGAACGTCCAGAGCAGGTTAGGCCTACGGATAATCTTAAACCTGAAGGCGAATTCTACAGTCCAGAAAAGCCGAAGTTCCGCCCAGGTGAGCGTCCATCTCAAGTCAGACCAGAGGATAACCTGAAACCAGAGGGCGAATTCTACACTCCCGATAAGCCTGGATATCGTCCCGCAGAGCGACCAGTTCAAAAGAGACCTGTGGATAATCTTAGGCCTGAGGGTGAGTTTGTTGCACCTGAAAAACAAGTTTTCCGGCCAGCTGAAAAAACGGAAAGGGTAATCAGAAAAGATAACCTGCGTACCGAAGGGGAAATGACATTTGTGGAGAAGGAAGAGTATCAGTATGTAGTTCGTCCTGAACAGGTTAAGCCGACAGATAATCTTAAGCCTGAAGGCGACTTCTACACTCCCGATAAGCCTGGATACAGACCAGCCGAACGTCCAGAGCAGGTTAGGCCTACGGATAATCTTAAACCTGAAGGCGAATTCTACAGTCCAGAAAAGCCGAAGTTCCGCCCAGGTGAGCGTCCATCTCAAGTCAGACCAGAGGATAACCTGAAACCAGAGGGCGAATTCTACACTCCCGATAAGCCTGGATATCGTCCCGCAGAGCGACCAGTTCAAAAGAGACCTGTGGATAATCTTAGGCCTGAGGGTGAGTTTGTTGCACCTGAAAAACAAGTTTTCCGGCCAGCTGAAAAAACGGAAAGGGTAATCAGAAAAGATAACCTGCGTACCGAAGGGGAAATGACATTTGTGGAGAAGGAAGAGTATCAGTATGTAGTTCGTCCTGAACAGGTTAAGCCGACAGATAATCTTAAGCCTGAAGGCGACTTCTACACTCCCGATAAGCCTGGATACAGACCAGCCGAACGTCCAGAGCAGGTTAGGCCTACGGATAATCTTAAACCTGAAGGCGAATTCTATAGTCCCGAAAAGCCGAAGTTCCGTCCTGGTGAACGTCCATCTCAAGTCAGACCGGAGGATAACCTGAAACCAGAAGGCGAGTTCTACACTCCCGATAAACCTGGATACAGACCAGCCGAACGTCCAGAGCAGGTTAGGCCTACGGATAATCTTAAGCCTGAAGGCGAATTCTACAGTCCCGAAAAGCCGAAGTTCCGTCCTGGTGAACGTCCATCTCAAGTCAGACCAGAGGATAACCTGAAACCAGAAGGCGAGTTCTACACTCCCGATAAACCTGGATACAGGCCAGCTGAGCGTCCCGAGCAGGTTAGGCCTACAGATAATCTTAAGCCTGAAGGCGACTTCTACACTCCCGATAAACCTGGATACAGACCAGCCGAACGTCCAGAGCAGGTTAGGCCTACGGATAATCTTAAACCTGAAGGCGAATTCTACAGTCCAGAAAAGCCGAAGTTCCGCCCAGGTGAGCGTCCATCTCAAGTCAGACCAGAGGATAACCTGAAACCAGAGGGCGAATTCTACACTCCCGATAAGCCTGGATATCGTCCCGCAGAGCGACCAGTTCAAAAGAGACCTGTGGATAATCTTAGGCCTGAGGGTGAGTTTGTTGCACCTGAAAAACAAGTTTTCCGGCCAGCTGAAAAAACGGAAAGGGTAATCAGAAAAGATAACCTGCGTACCGAAGGGGAAATGACATTTGTGGAGAAGGAAGAGTATCAGTATGTAGTTCGTCCTGAACAGGTTAAGCCGACAGATAATCTTAAGCCTGAAGGCGACTTCTACACTCCCGATAAACCTGGATACAGACCAGCCGAACGTCCAGAGCAGGTTAGGCCTACGGATAATCTTAAACCTGAAGGCGAATTCTATAGTCCCGAAAAGCCGAAGTTCCGTCCTGGTGAGCGTCCATCTCAAGTCAGACCGGAGGATAACCTGAAACCAGAAGGCGAGTTCTACACTCCCGATAAACCTGGATACAGACCAGCCGAACGTCCAGAGCAGGTTAGGCCTACGGATAATCTTAAGCCTGAAGGCGAATTCTACAGTCCCGAAAAGCCGAAGTTCCGTCCTGGTGAACGTCCATCTCAAGTCAGACCAGAGGATAACCTGAAACCAGAAGGCGAGTTCTACACTCCCGATAAACCTGGATACAGGCCAGCTGAACGTCCAGAGCAGGTGAAGCCTACGGATAATCTTAAACCTGAAGGCGAATTCTACAGCCCCGAAAAGCCGAAGTACCGTCCTGGTGAACGTCCATCTCAAGTCAGACCGGAGGATAACCTGAAACCAGAGGGCGAATTCTACACTCCCGATAAGCCTGGATACAGACCAGCCGAGCGTCCAGAGCAGGTCAAACCAACAGATAATCTTAAACCTGAAGGCGACTTCTACAGTCCAGAAAAGCCGAAGTTCCGCCCTGGTGAGCGTCCATCTCAAGTCAGACCAGAGGATAACCTGAAACCAGAAGGCGAGTTCTACACTCCCGATAAACCTGGATATAGGCCAGCTGAACGTCCAGAGCAGGTTAGGCCTACGGATAATCTTAAACCTGAAGGCGAATTCTACAGCCCCGAAAAGCCGAAGTACCGTCCTGGTGAACGTCCATCTCAAGTCAGACCGGAGGATAACCTGAAACCAGAGGGCGAGTTCTATACTCCCGATAAACCTGGATATAGGCCAGCTGAGCGGCCAGTTCAAAAGAGACCCGTGGATAATCTTAAACCTGAGGGCGAGTTTGTGGCGCCAGAAAAGCAAGTGTTCCGGCCAGCTGAGAAAACAGAAAGAATCATCCGAAAGGATAACTTACGTACCGAAGGGGAAATGACATTTGTGGAGAAGGAAGAGTATCAGTATGTAGTTCGTCCTGAACAGGTTAAGCCGACAGATAATCTTAAGCCTGAAGGCGACTTCTACACTCCCGATAAACCTGGATACAGACCAGCCGAGCGTCCAGAGCAGGTCAGACCGACAGATAATCTTAAGCCTGAAGGCGAATTCTACAGTCCAGAAAAGCCGAAGTTCCGTCCTGGTGAGCGTCCATCTCAAGTCAGACCAGAGGATAACCTGAAACCAGAAGGCGAATTCTACACTCCCGATAAACCTGGATACAGGCCAGCCGAACGTCCAGAGCAGGTTAGGCCTACAGATAATCTTAAACCTGAAGGCGAATTTTATAGTCCAGAAAAGCCAAAGTACCGTCCAGGTGAGCGTCCATCTCAAGTCAAGCCAGAGGATAACCTGAAACCAGAAGGCGAGTTCTACACTCCCGATAAACCTGGATATAGGCCAGCTGAGCGGCCAGTTCAAAAGAGACCCGTGGATAATCTTAAACCTGAAGGCGAGTTTGTGGCGCCAGAAAAGCAAGTGTTCCGGCCAGCTGAGAAAACAGAAAGAATCATCCGAAAGGATAACTTACGTACCGAAGGGGAAATGACATTTGTGGAGAAGGAAGAGTATCAGTATGTAGTTCGTCCTGAACAGGTTAAGCCGACAGATAATCTTAAGCCTGAAGGCGACTTCTACACTCCCGATAAACCTGGATACAGACCAGCCGAGCGTCCAGAGCAGGTCAGACCGACAGATAATCTTAAGCCTGAAGGCGAATTCTACAGTCCAGAAAAGCCGAAGTTCCGTCCTGGTGAGCGTCCATCTCAAGTCAGACCAGAGGATAACCTGAAACCAGAAGGCGAATTCTACACTCCCGATAAACCTGGATACAGGCCAGCCGAACGTCCAGAGCAGGTTAGGCCTACGGATAATCTTAAACCTGAAGGCGAATTCTACAGTCCAGAAAAGCCGAAGTTCCGTCCTGGTGAGCGTCCATCTCAAGTCAGACCGGAGGATAACCTGAAACCAGAGGGCGAATTCTACACTCCCGATAAACCTGGATACAGACCAGCCGAGCGTCCAGAGCAGGTTAGGCCTACGGATAATCTTAAACCTGAAGGCGAATTCTACAGTCCAGAAAAGCCGAAGTTCCGCCCAGGTGAGCGTCCATCTCAAGTCAAGCCAGAGGATAACCTGAAACCAGAAGGCGAGTTCTACACTCCCGATAAACCTGGATATAGGCCAGCTGAGCGGCCAGTTCAAAAGAGACCCGTGGATAATCTTAAACCTGAAGGCGAGTTTGTGGCGCCAGAAAAGCAAGTGTTCCGGCCAGCTGAGAAAACAGAAAGAATCATCCGAAAGGATAACTTACGTACCGAAGGGGAAATGACATTTGTGGAGAAGGAAGAGTATCAGTATGTAGTTCGTCCTGAACAGGTTAAGCCGACAGATAATCTTAAGCCTGAAGGCGACTTCTACACTCCCGACAAACCTGGATACAGGCCAGCCGAGCGTCCAGAGCAGGTTAGGCCTACGGATAATCTTAAACCTGAAGGCGAATTCTACAGTCCCGAAAAGCCGAAGTTCCGTCCTGGTGAGCGTCCATCTCAAGTCAGACCAGAGGATAACCTGAAACCAGAAGGCGAGTTTTACACTCCCGATAAACCTGGATACAGGCCAGCTGAACGTCCAGAGCAGGTTAGGCCCACGGATAATCTTAAACCTGAAGGCGAATTCTACAGTCCCGAAAAGCCGAAGTTCCGTCCTGGTGAGCGTCCATCTCAAGTCAGACCAGAGGATAACCTGAAACCAGAAGGCGAGTTCTACACTCCCGATAAACCTGGATACAGGCCAGCTGAACGTCCCGAGCAGGTGAGGCCTACGGATAATCTTAAACCTGAAGGCGAATTCTACAGCCCCGAAAAGCCGAAGTACCGTCCTGGTGAACGTCCATCTCAAGTCAGACCGGAGGATAACCTGAAACCAGAGGGCGAATTCTACACTCCCGATAAACCTGGATACAGACCAGCCGAACGTCCAGAGCAGGTTAGGCCTACGGATAATCTTAAACCTGAAGGCGAATTCTACAGTCCAGAAAAGCCGAAGTTCCGCCCTGGTGAGCGTCCATCTCAAGTCAGGCCAGAGGATAACCTGAAACCAGAAGGCGAGTTCTACCATCCCGATAAACCTGGATATAGGCCAGCTGAGCGGCCAGTTCAAAAGAGGCCTGTGGATAATCTTAAACCTGAGGGCGAGTTTGTGGCGCCAGAAAAGCAAGTGTTCCGGCCAGCTGAGAAAACAGAAAGAATCATCCGAAAGGATAACTTACGTACCGAAGGGGAAATGACATTTGTGGAGAAGGAAGAGTATCAGTATGTAGTTCGTCCTGAACAGGTTAAGCCGACAGATAATCTTAAGCCTGAAGGCGACTTCTACACTCCCGATAAGCCTGGATACAGACCAGCCGAACGTCCAGAGCAGGTTGGGCCTACGGATAATCTTAAACCTGAAGGCGAATTCTACAGTCCCGAAAAGCCGAAGTTCCGTCCTGGTGAGCGTCCATCTCAAGTCAGACCGGAGGATAACCTGAAACCAGAGGGCGAGTTCTACACTCCCGATAAACCTGGATACAGACCAGCCGAACGTCCAGAGCAGGTTAGGCCTACGGATAATCTTAAACCTGAAGGCGAATTCTACAGTCCAGAAAAGCCAAAGTACCGTCCAGGTGAGCGTCCATCTCAAGTCAAGCCAGAGGATAACCTGAAACCAGAAGGCGAGTTCTACCATCCCGATAAACCTGGATATAGGCCAGCTGAGCGACCAGTTCAAAAGAGGCCCGTGGACAATCTGAAACCAGAGGGCGAGTTTGTGGCGCCTGAAAAGCAAGTGTTCCGACCGGCAGAAAAAACGGAAAAGGTCATCCGAAAGGATAACTTGCGTACCGAGGGGGAAATGACGTTTGTGGAAAAGAAAGAGTATCAATATGTTGTTCGTCCTGAGCAGGTAAAGCCGACGGATAATCTTAAGCCTGAAGGCGAATTCTACAGTCCAGAAAAGCCGAAGTTCCGCCCAGGTGAGCGTCCATCGCAAGTCAGACCAGAGGATAACCTGAAACCAGAGGGTGAATTCTACACTCCCGATAAACCTGGATATCGCCCCGCAGAACGGCCAGTTCAAAAGAGGCCCGTGGACAATCTGAAACCAGAGGGCGAGTTTGTGGCGCCTGAAAAGCAAGTGTTCCGACCGGCAGAAAAAACGGAAAAGGTCATCCGAAAGGATAACTTGCGTACCGAGGGGGAAATGACGTTTGTGGAAAAGAAAGAGTATCAATATGTTGTTCGTCCTGAGCAGGTAAAGCCGACGGATAATCTTAAGCCTGAAGGCGAATTCTACAGTCCAGAAAAGCCAAAGTTCCGCCCAGGTGAGCGTCCCACGCAAGTCAGACCAGAGGATAACCTGAAACCAGAGGGCGAGTTCTATACTCCAGAGAAACCTAGGTATAAGCCTGTTGAAAGACCTAAGCAGAAGAAACCGCAAGATAATTTAAAACCTTTGGAAGGTGTTATGTTTACTCCGGAAAAACCCAAATACCAGCCAGCAGATCGACCTGAGCAAAAGAAACATGTGGATAACTTGAAGCCTGAGGGCCAAATGTATATTCCTGAAAAAGAAACATTTAAACCAGCTGAAAAGGTGAAAACAATTATAAGAAAGGACAACTTAAAGACCGAGGGTTCAATGACGTTCACTAAAAAAGAAGACTATCGTCACGTCAAGAGACCCGAACAAGTGAAGCCAAGCGATAACTTAAGGTCTGAAGGAGAATTCTATACGCCCGAGAAGACGACCTTCAAGCCTGCGGAACGACCAATTCAAAAGAAACCTAAGGACAACTTGAAGACAGAGGGTGAATTTTACAAAAGAACTGATAGAACTGAAACCGACAGCACAACGACGGTAATAGAGAAGAGAGAGCCTGCCAAGCGACCGGTAGATAACTTAAAGTTAGAAGGTTCCATGACAGTGACTAGAAAGGATGATTACAAATCAACTACCAATAAAACCGCCGTCGATCGAGTTCAGCGTACACAGAAGTACAAGCACAACAGTTCATCCATCAGCTTGGGTAGCGATACTACAATTTTAAAGACAACGAACCAGATGAACTTTGTGTCCGGCAAGGATGCAATAAAGCAAGTGGATTCCAACAGCCAGGCTCCAGTAGATGGCCTGATTATTGTTTCAACGAAAAAGGTCACAACTGTTGTCGGTGGCCGAACCAAAAAGGAGCCAGAAACCGAATATGTGAAGCGACCAGCTAAAATAAATGTTATCGAGAATGTGTCCAAAAATACGACCACAACAAATATCGAAAACACACAAAACGTACACAAGGAAACAACGTCGATGCAAAGAAATCTCAATGTTGTGGAGAAGAGTGCACTCAAAACAGAGCAAATCCGTGGCTCAACGGATGACAGCAGCGCCCTTCAGACCTCCACAATAACAAGACGAACAAACCAAGGTGGCACGTCGACCAACAACGTGACCGAAACTGGAGGTACAACACATCATGTAGTCTCATCAGGCAGAACAGATACCAACAACTTGACAGCATCTGGAGGGTCAACAACTCACGTAGTCTCGGGCAGGACAGTTACCAGGAACGTGACCGAAACTGGAGGATCTACGGCTCGCATAGTCTCAGGCAGGCTAGTTACCAGGAATGCAACTGAAACCGGAGGTTCAACATCCCATATAGTCTCGGACAACACAGCTACGAATAATGTCAGCAATGGATCCACGTCTCATGTGGTCGGTGGCAGCAGCTCGGTGATCAACAACACGACCAGCAGCTCAACTTCGCAGATGAGCTCATCAAAGCATTTCCATCACAGGAAGAGCGAGTTTTCCTCGGAGGCTGATGTGTCCAACTCGGTATTCCATCGCAAGAACGTGACAACGGACTCGAGTGCGGTCAACGGCAGTCTAACCTCTAACGGAAAAATGCAGCGCAAGAGTATTCTGAACCTGCACGAGCAGGCGCCGAGCAGCAATGCCCATTCGAGTGATCGCCAGAGCTATAGTAGCATCCATCGTCAGAATCGGGAATCGGATTTGAATACTGGCTACGCCACGGATCGTCGCAGTTGCAGCATACACAAGGAAAACAAGGAACATCAAGTGAAGACCTCCTCGTCTTCCTCATCCATGTCGCGCATCATATCCGGTGCTGATACGAACAGATCGAACCTGGAGAGATCGACGGTCACACGCACATATGCATCGGGCGGCATTGATTTCCCATCTCAATCTCAGAGTGAGCGTCATGTGACACGTCATCGCAGCGCTGGTAGCCAGCATTTGTCCAGCGGCATAGATTTCCCCTCCTCATCTGCCTACAATGCCCATGGCCAGAGCGAACGGATTGTGAGCTCGCGTCGCGGCAATCAATCCTCGATTAGTCTGGGCAACGACAAGTTTACCGGCTCCAGTCTCTACAAGAGCGAATACATAACTGCCCCAACAACAACAACCTGTGCTGTGCATAAGATTAAACAAGGTGCATTCCAACATACCAGAAGTACTCACGATCATAAATTCTATAAAACCTCTAACTGAATAATATATGAAATCGTCTGAACGTACGTCTTGTCTTGTCTTCATAACATATCACACATAGCGCCTAAGTTTCCATGACAATATTTTTTTATACAATATCTAATTACCTGAAAAGATAAAAACAAAATATTCAATTTTAAGATTAACCAATAAAGAGCATATCATTTTTTCAAAAAAATAGAATCCTTTTTCTTGGAACTGAAAGGAGTTGCGTGTTCAACGTGAGATGATGGTTTTATTTAAGAATTTTTAAAAGATGCTAGTGTGTCGTTTTTTAAAGGCTATTATCGTATGTATAAGTACAGTAACTGTATAATTAATATCGTTTAAAAAAACGTTTTCAACTATATATATGTATATATATACTATATGCTGGTATATAAATAATCAATGAGTTCTATCTATTTTGTTAATAGATTTACATACATTTCGATTTGTATATTGGTTTATTTTTGTTTTCATTTGGAAGTTGGTTTTTTTTTTCCCCCTCTATATAATCTCTTTAAATACTCGTTACTTAAATTAGCTTAGGATTTTTATATATATATTTCAATGTTTGGAAGACATTTGTTCGCTTGTTTTGGAAGACTTGCGTTTCATTTCTTATAGACTAGGTTTATTGTTACATGTTTCTTAAGTTTTTTTTACTTCGATCGTGGACTGCATTTTGGCTTTTTTTGACAACTAGTTAGTTTTGGAAGACTTGCCAATAATACAATCCCACAAACCCAACAAATATATGTATACCTTGGTATTCGTAGTACCCAGTTTGATTAGAGCTTTCGTTAACTGATCTATAAATAGTTTTCGCAACAATTGGGAGTAAAATATTTAAAATGGAAGACCGATCTCGAAGGCATTGATCAGGGCATTGCCGGAATCATAGATGCCTATAACCCCGAAGAGCACGCCCAGCCCTATGATGACGTAGTCTCTGGCCATTTCCTTCTGATCAAGCAAATGACCCTTGATCTTGATGTGGAAGTAACAGGGCCAAATAAAACTTAACATGGTGCCCGTGAAGCTGCCAATAAAACCCATTAGTATCGAGAAGTGTGGTATAAATATGGCCATAAGTATGGTGGAGACAATCACGCCCACGCGGAAGCCCAGGCCCCACACTTTCAGTTCACCATCCAGATTCCAGATGGTCGGAAATTTGGTTTTTGGCGAGCCGCGGAAGAAGTTGCGCTCCAGTAGCTCGCAGGCAGCATAGTATGGCAATGGATAGCTGAGAATGGCCTTGATGACCAGGAAGAAGTTGACCATGCCCTTAAAGCCTTGAGAGTGCAAATTGTTGGTTATCACCTGCTGCGTGTCGTTCTGGAAGGTGAGGAAGCAGATGTAACCGAAACCCGCCTTAAATATCGCAGCGGCTATGTGCGACCAGTCGAGCATCCAGTTGAACTTGGAGCGATCGATCATATTGCCTTCCAGAGTGGGCAAGAATATCTGCGAGGTGTAGGAGAAGACAATGACGCCCAGGGAAATGGGAAAGTTTTCCATGTCAATGCTCCAGCGCACCTTGGACCAGCCCCAGTCGCCAATCTGGAGCAGACAATAGCCCAGGATGACGGCATTGATCACAATATGCGACATGGTGCACCAGAAGGACAGCGTGGATACCATTTTCAGGGACTTGAGGAAGCCCATGGGCAGCAAAAAGATGCCCACAAACAGCATCCAGGAGCGCGAATCGAACGAGCCCTGCGGATAGGTGCCCGCCAAGAGATCACCGCAGACAACCACATACAATATACAGGTCATCAGCAGCTCAATCAGCTGGGCAACGCTGACGGCCCGTGCGCCCAGCTTGGGACCGAAGCAAACCTTGGCAATGGACACATAGCTGTCGCGTACGCGCACCATTTGGCCCGTGCTGGGATCCGGCTCGTATAGGCACTGCACCAGCACCTTGCCCGTATAGCAGCAGATGTGAGCAATGCCCACCATGGCAATGATGGCCCAGTAGCCGCCATGGAGCACGGCAAATGGCAGCGATACGATGAACATGCCCTGAATGGCATTTGTTACGTTCCAGGCAGCCTGGAACTCGTCGATCTTGGAGCCGCCGCCACCTTCACCCTCGCAGACAAATGAGCTGGCCTCCGAGGCGATGCTGCCCTGCCTGCAAAGCGAAGAAACCATGAGCAACTGCATCATTTTAGGCATTTGATTCGGGTACATACCTGAATCCATCGGTCTGCTGATATCTGCCATCGTATTCATTGCCCACAAAAGATGTGCTCTGGTATTCGGTTTTAAAGTCCCCATCGGCCTCCTCGTTCGACCAGCTTGTGGCATTGCGAAAGGGATTCGAGCTCATCTCTGTGGGCTGATCGCTGCCATTCGCGACATTCGCATCGGCTGGCGGAAACATGCCGTGACCTTGACCCTGCTGTGGATGACTGCCGCTCGATCCGGGCGGCTGCTGGTAATCCTTGCGCTCTGGAAATTGCTGTCTGGCCGTTTGCATGGCCACATTGAGTATGTTCTTCAATGGTGGCATTGGTGGCAATGGTGTCGCTTTCAATTTGGTTATGAATGACATGCTGATGGCGATTACGAGAGAATACTATCAGGTGGGGTGGTTGATGCGAATGCTGCTTGCCCTGCTGGGTGGTGGGTGGGTGGTTGGTGGTTGGGTGGATGACGGCGGCCCCCTCTGTGGCTATCAAGTAGTGCGAATTGTACGGATGCTGAAGCTTATCGATTTTGTCTGAATGTTGAAATGTTGTCGAATTACGGCCGTTGAATTTCTGATTATTATTATTCACATAGACGAACTTAACTTAAGACACATTTAACTAAAAAGAATAACTGAATTTTTGTTGGAAATTAATTTTCTTTGGAAATTTCTTTAAGCAAAATTTTCTTATACAGCGCACAAATTGGCGCCCTATGCGAATGCGTTTTTCTGAATTTTACACATCTTTGCTCACTTAGCTTAACTCGAACTGGAACTCGATCTGGAACTGAAGGCGTGGCCGCAATAGCTGCATTCTTGTCTGGCGCGAAGCAATGTGGAATTAATTTAAAATGAAATTATTATTGAAATTTTATGTAACGTTTCAGGCAAGTCCTGCAGCCCTTCAGCAAACCCCACAGCAAGAAAAGAAAATTTCTTTTCCTCTTTAGCCCCGTACAACCTGCTCCTGTGGACGACTGCGCAGTCGCTAGCTTGCTGGCAGATGCTGTGTATATTGGTGGGACAGAGTCAGGTGTCATTTGCAAAGTTGCCACTCGAATTTGAATTTGAATTGTACCATTTGAAAGGCTGCCATATTTGTTACAAATGTACCAAAAGTGTACCTGTTCTTAAATAGTACACAGTACATTGTTGGCTAGAAAATGGTACATCGTTTGTTCACTGCTCTTAAGTAAAATCTGAAAGTATTTATTATGTTGCTTCAGTTAAACAATTCGAAAAATGAATGTATTGAATAACTAAGAATAATGGAAATTTGAAAGGATTCTTTTTTTACTCGAATAATATTTACCAAAATGTACTTTTGGTACGTTTCCTTGGTACAGCAAGTGTTTGTTTCAAGTGGCAGCCTTGGTACATATGCCGCACATGTGGCAACCCTGGCGACTGCCAAATTTACAGTTTCACAACAGGTTCGGGAATTGAAACGCGTTACGTATTCATAGCGAATTTGATTTTATTTCAATGCAAACTAACTTAAGTTTAACATATTTCATATGATTGAATAATAATAGAAAAACTCTAAATATCGTACACTTTATAAAGAACGGGGGAGCGGGAGGCAATACTTATGCGTACCGTAAACCAAGCGCTAAACTCTACATTCAAATATAACAAACTTCAGGAGCAGCGCGCAAGTATTAAAAACTCAGGCGGCAAACCAGATGCAATTGCGTCCGTCAATTGCTGTAGCAGGTTTTGCGCACACCCGCCAGGATATTGCTAATCTCATCATCCTTGCGCTGGAGCTGCTGCTGCTGTTGCGGATGCTGCTGCTGCTCGAAGAGCATCTCGCCGACGCCCACGCCCACGCCCACACCCACCATGCCCGGAGCAGAGCTGCCGGCACCATTGGCCGCAAAGTGATGATGATGATGATGGGCATGTGGATGCGCATGATGCTGCATGGCCATTGCCGCAGGACCCGTGCCTGTCTGCGCGGCTGATGGCGCTGCTGGCGTTTGCTGTGGCAGCAGCTGTGCTCCTGCTCCATTGGCCTCATAGTAGCTGCCATAGTGCAGGTAGCTGCTTTGCATGGGCTGTCCGTAGGCAGTTGCCCCACCTGGCGCTGAGGCCTGCTGAAACGGCACCGCCAGCTGTAGCGGAAAGGCGGTCAGGCCGCTGGGCGTGCAGGCGCTACTGGTCAGCGGATAGGGCAACTGGGTGTAGTAGCTGGTGCCACTAGGCGGTGCTGGCGCCGCCAGCAACATGGCATTGTTATAGGCCTCCGCCTCATAATCATCATAGTTCTGATTGGTATCCGGATATTTGGCGCATTTCTGTGCACCATTGTCCGTTGTCTCCTTGAGCTGATCGTAGTCCATCTCGTTGGTCTGATAGCGCAGAAAATCCTCATACTGCATGCCATACGCATTGGCATTCACGCCGGACAGATAATCATTGGAGACGGTGCCCAGCTCGTTCATGCTCAGCCGCAGGCTGCCCGCGTTGGTGCTCTCAGCCATGGCCACCGTGTAGCTGCTCAGCTGCTCGCTGACGCCAGCCATCACGTTCGATGCACTGGAGCTGGTTGGGCAAATGCTGGAGCTGGTGTTGCAGTGCTGCTGCTGCTGTTGCTGCTGCTGCAGGGAATTGCTGCCTCGCATAGAGTTGCAGCTGGCATCATCATCAGCGCTGGACACTGGCGGATAGAAGGTTCCCTTCACGGAGTGCCCATGATCCAGCAGTCCGCGATTGTTGCACGTGACATACATGCCGCGGGCTGCAACCACAGCCACGGAGCTGGTCAGTGGATATGAGGCATAAAGGCTCGATGATTGCTGCTGCTGCTGCTGCTGTGCCTTGGACTTCTCTTCCGCCTTGGAGTGCTTCTCGTTGCGCTGCTTGCTGGCACGACTTGACGGCGTCGGCGGCTTTGTTAGCTTCTTTAACAGCAGTGAGCTGTCGTAGCTGGTATTTGTTGCGACTGGAGAGGATTCATTGCAGCTGGCAGCCAGAGATTCAATCTGCTCCGTGCTGTCCGCATTGCTGTAGCAGTCCACGGAGCTGGGCGAATAGCTTGGCTTTAGCGGCTGCTCGTACAAGCCACCCACGTTATGGGGCGTCGAGTTGCGGCTGTCATCGGTGGGCGTGTTGTAGCTGCCGCTTGTGGCCGTCGCCAGCGGCGGCGTCGATAGCTTGGGCGTTGTCTTGGACGACCCCGCTGCGCCTGTTTGCGAGGCCAACTCACTCTGCTGCTGATCCTTGCCCGGCTGCGGGGTGCGCAGCTTGGACTGCTTTCGCCGCCTGGGCCGGTACTTGTAGTTCGGGTGCTCGGTCATGTGTATGACGCGCAGGCGCTCCGCCTCCTCCACATACGGTCGACGATCCTGTGGCGTCAAGGAGCGCCACTTTTTGCCTGCAAGACGCAAACAGTGGCATTAAACGGAAGTGTTTGACCAAGCCGAGTGAGCTGTGTACTTACCCAACATCTTGCTGAGATCTGCATTATGCAGGTCGGGATTCTCGTCGGCCAGCTTCTTGCGCTCGATCTTAGCCCACACCATGAACGCGTTCATTGGCCGGCGGATGCGCGACTCTTTGGCACTTTTTGACTGGTTACCGCCTGGTCTGTACTTCAAATCGCTGGCCATCGCCTTGTGCCGGTCCAGATAGCCGCAATTGGGCGCGCATATGTCGCCCTTGTAATCATAGCTCCACATGGACGCCGGCTCAATTGGCGAATGCGAGGCACCGCCGCACTCATCCTGTGCCCCCACCATGCTGGCATGCGGATGCGACAAGAACTTATTCAGCACAGAGCTGCCGCCTCCGCCCAGCAGGGGTATATTGCTGCTGATCAATGAGGATGCGCTTCCGCCCACACTGTACGCACTGGACACCATCGGCGAGTGGCTGTGACTGTGCACCGAGAGCGCCGCCTCGTTCATCGAGTGCTCATTGTCGTAGCCGGCGCTCTGTATGGCTGGTGAGTGTAAGCTGGGCGAGGAGTGCTCGCTGCCCTGCCTCACATGGTAGATGCCATCGCTGGGGCTGTCGTGCAGCAATCTTCCGTCGGACAGATAGACACCATGCTCCGGATAATCGCTGCCCACGGTCGAGTGGCTATATTCCGGCGTTCGGGACACGTGAGGATATTTCTTAGCACTGAAATGTAAGGAGAGAATGTGTTAGAAGTTGGAAAAAGTTTATTTAATCTAAATATTTTTTTAGATATCGATCTCAATTAAAAGAAACTACATGCAACTTAACGAGAACGAATAAATACAAAGAAGAAAAGTTAATGGACATAAGGCAAGATCGGGTAAGTTTTCTTATTTCGAGAGTTTATTATTATTTGAAAAACAAATTTTTTTGGGATTTTTGTTACAAATAACTTTCTAGAGTGTAAATTTCCATTAAATTCAAGATTGAGTAGGTTATTTCACAGGGATTTATTAAAAAAATTAAGCAACTTTTATTACAAATAATGATCAGATATAATTAAAAAATATTATTTCAATAATTTCTCCATAGCATCAAAGAGCAAAACTCCTTTCCGTTTAAAAATCGTATCGGTTTTGACTAACTTTTAAAAATTAGGATTCACATTTTCTCATAAATTGTTCGTTAGTTTTGTTGACAAAAATACCAATTTTTATTAAATTTAGGGTTTTTATCAACGCAGCAATCCTTTAAAAATGTTCAGTGCTTTGGTTTATGATTCGAAACGAATTTGTGAGTCTAGTTTTCCATCCATAATAATGAAATAATTCAATTTTAATAAATAATTGCCCGTCCTACTGAAAATATTGCGAGTCGTAAATATTTTCATATGGAAGTTTCGGGCTAAATTTGATCTCTACCCCGAATTACATTAACCAAATAAAGTTGGATATAGCTAATGTTTAAATATTTATGTTTAAAGCTAAATCTCTCTCAACAGAGTTTTATTTTAACCCAATTTAGTTTTACAAATTATGGATGCATTCGGGATTCGTTTTTGGGGCCATTAGTTTGATTTTGGAATTCGTTTAAGATTAAATAGTATTTTTTTTTTGTTTTAACAAATATTCAAAAGAAAATATAAAGTACTTATCCAGGAATATTTATAAATGAAATGTTTCTCAAAGTTTGTAGTTAGGAAAAATTTTATATTCCACTTGAGGATGCAAAAATGTTTCGAAATCTAAATAATTCTATTTTCGTGGAATTTATGACACTTTGTCAGTTTGTAATATTGAGTGTAGAATTGGGTTATACAAATTTTTCTATAAATTCAGAAATTTATCAACTGCGGAAAGGGATCTATTATCTTTTAACATTTCTTCCAAAAAATCGTATGCTTTTTCGTAAGTAGCTTATAATTAGATTGGAAAAAATGATGTACGGACTGTTGAAAGTTAAATTGACACGCATTATCCATGCAATCATCCTTTAAATTGAACACTTGGGCGAATAAGTGATGTTTTAGAGATCTAAAATTAGCACGGCCAGGACCGCCTGTATGCTGTCAAACTTTTATTTTAATCTAATATTTCAATGTGTGTATGTATGTATATAAGTATGTTAGCAAGTAGGTATTTATATATGTATGTATGTGTATATTTTCTCTTAAATCAATCGCAGACCCAGCGGGCTTATCTTTTTGATAATTCGCAGCGCGGCAATTTGTATATTTATAAATAGGGCCCTACTTTGCGATTCTCATTAATTTAAGTAAGGCTAGATATTAATGCTCGTTTAGAAGTAATATGTGTTGTTAAATGTTGTGCCGACAATTATCTAAAGTTAAACTTATTTATATATGTATTGAAATACATTCGTATATATATATGTACATATATATATGCATGCATGTTATATTTGTATATGCATATGTTTGTATATATATTTATATAAGCCGCTTACATAGATAACTTTGCTGCGCTACAATTAAAACGGACTTTTTCAAACGTTGCCTTCCTATGCGATTCTCAAAAACCCAAGTAACCTTGTTTATAAGAGTTATGTGTACATGTTGTCTTGACAATCTAATAACATTTCTCTCTGTTCCTTCTTTATTTCTTATGCACTTTTACCCGCTCTCTATTTCCTTTATTCTTGAAGCGGCGTGTATTTATAAAAGTCTATTTGCTCCAATCAAAAATTGGCTATAAATGCATATGTTTTATATGTATAACATATATATATATGTTTATAAACGAGAACATATGTTCAAGCAATTAAGGCTTGAATCAAGATTAAAATTATATCTTTAGCAACGATTAGGCAAGCATATAAACTGCCTGGATAGCACGCTATCCGCAAAGGTCGCACAGTTCCTAATTAGAGATGAAATCGTTTAAGCATGTTTCACTGTGTGTTTATGAGAGCTACTGTTGAAAATTACGTAGGACAGTAAGAAATGTCGGCAGAGCCCGCCTTATAATGATATTTAAAATCGCCGCTAAATACGTTGACAATTTTCACGTTGCTGGCACGCAAAAAAAGGAAGGAATAAAATAAAACAAAAGGTATAAACTTTGCGTTTATATCAGACACCACAGTGAATCGGAGAATGGCGAATGCCGGGTGGAGGACAAGGGCCAAGGGGCAGGGCCGAAAACTGGACCAGGCTCGAGGCTGGAAGGCTGGGATGCTGCAACGTTTGCGCTCCTTAATGTCAGTGGACATAAATGTAAATTGGGCGCGTGCAGCTATTGTATTATCAAAGGAGGCCGCGCCGCCGAGCCACAGTCGCCAGGTTGCCAGAGTAAGCAAAGAAGCTGTAGCTGTTGCTGGAGCTGGAGCAGGAGCTGTATGCTCCGGCTCGGGGGCCCCAGACCTTTATGCATAACTTTTAAAAGTTGCGACATATCGACACATTTCAAAGTAATTCGGCTTCCAGGAATTCAAGCAGAACCAAACCAGCAGCAGCAGCAGCAGCGGCAGCGGCAGCCAAACGAGACAAGTTTAAATATTACCAAAGCTCAGCCCCAGACTCCGACTCGGCTCCCTAAGGGAGAACCCCGAGACGCCCGACGCTCGAATCCGGTGCTCCTCGTTTCGCTTGGCTCTGGCTGTGGATCTGGCTCTCGTTCCCTGTGTGTGCGTGCTGTCTTCTCCCTTGGTTCGATTTGTTACCGTTTGAATTTATTGCTGCCCACTACACTTTTGGTCTATTGTCTACCCAGGCAGCGGGCCAGGTTGTCTGCTGTCCGTTGTCCGTTGTCGTCTGCTCTTTTGCCTACCAACTTTGGGGCCTTGGCTACAAGAGAACGGCCTAATTGTTAGCTTCCAGGCATAGGCATAGGCCAGGCCAGGGGCCAGGCTACCTTGGCGCAACTAGGCGCTCTAGTTTCAGGCTTTCTTTTGGCCAAGAGCGCCCAGGCCGACAAAACTGAAAGAGTTAAGGCCCATGCCCAAAAGCACTGAGACCTAGCCCCAAGCTCAGCTGCAGCCAGAGCTACAGCTACAGCTGGATAATTTATTGAGGGTTCCTGGTGACATCGTTACGTTTTTGATATTCGGTTGCGGCTGCCGCTGAGCTGCTGCTGCCGCTGCTGCTGCTGCTGCTGCTAAATACTTTGCCAAGCTACACAAAATTATACCGTCCTGGTCTGTACGCCTGTCCAACTGGTCCCTGGCTTTGAGTTGGGCTTCGTTTGGCTTTGCTTTTGGTCTGCTTTATCCTAAGCGCGCGCTCACGATCCACGACGACGCGGCGGCTGCGGCTTTAGCTTTGGCTTAGCCCCTGCTCCGGTCCGAGCCGGGGCTGTGGCAGCTTCTTAGCCATGGCCCTGATTTTAAAATAGGACACATACAGTGGCCGGTAAGTTGGCATTTTTATGCGCGCAAAATGTCAACATCTTTGCAAAATGCCACATATTCCACATTGCGCTCCTCTGTCCCGCCACAGTCTCTGTCCCAACTCGTTCTGCCCGCTGTCTCAGTGTGTCTCTCCCTGTCTCCCGCGTCTCCCTGTCCAGTGTCCAGTGTCCAGCGTCCGATGCTGTCTGCTGTCTGCTCCGTCCAAGTACTGAACGTCCGCGCTTGCCTTTGGATCGTGGACCGTGGACCATGGACCGTGCAACGTTTTGTTTACGACAACCGCAACGGCGACTCTGCTGGGTGGCTTCAACTGCGCCGCTTGCTGCAACTCGACAACTCGCCAACTGTGGCAACTTGGCAACTGTGGCAACTTGGCAACTTGGCGGCTGCCGCAAAGTAGGCAACTTTGGCTTTGGCCTTAACAAGCCCGCAAAACTTCATTCAGAAGCCGCATTGATCTGGAGAGAGTGTCAGCCCTTTAGCATATTGTGATTCATGTGTCGCTGCGCGAAGACAGCCTTTTAAGTTTTGTACCCGCCGCCCCCCCTGTAAAGCCCCCTCAAGCTGCGCAGAAGACAAACTTGCAACAGCAAAAAAGCAAAAAAAAAGGCGGCGGCGTTTTGTCGCCATTTCTTGCCACAGTACACATAGGAACTTTGATTTTACTGTGTTAATTATGTTCGCATTAACAAGAATCTTTTTTCAATATTTCATTTAATCTCAACTCTCAAGCGAAAGTGAGCAGCTTTTGCCACATGCTCGTCTAGTCGATCGACCCTCACATGCAACTTGGCAGTTAATTGTTTATTCTCACGCTCCAAATAGCTGTCGGGCATTTGCTTTCTAGTCTAAACTGTGACTGGAGAAAATTCTAAATATTTCTAATGGCAGACTCTTCGAATTAAACATATAGTTTGACAGATATCTGGCACGTGAGAACATGGCATTAACTTAACTATATTTTTAAACATATTCGTGTTTTCTTCTACCAAATAGAAAGTTGATTTGCACTCAATAATGTGTTACGATCTATAATACATATACGAATAGATATTTTATATATTTTTCGAATATGTCTGTGAGTATTTATAGATCTGCAAAATCTGCATTCAAATATTTTGTATTATGATATATTATATTTAGTACCAAAACCTAATCCATTTAATTTCGAGTCTGAACTTTGCAAATATTTTATGAAAGTTTATTCGAGAACGTTATTGTAATTTGGGTAAATATTTATACCTTTCTTGTGGTTATTTATATGTAATTTCCTTTCTGTTGGTTAATTTGCTGACAACCCTTCCCCTTCGATTATTACGTGAAAACTTTTAGTCCAATGTTCAATTAAAAATTAATTCATTACACAGAAAATATCCGCATTGGAAGATTCGTAGTAAAATACCTTATCATTTACCGCGTGTAATTCCCACTATAATTAAAACCTAATTTTTAAAGACCTTTCAGCTCCGGATTCGAGTCTCAGAAAAGTATTAATTCTTAACCACAACTATTTATAAAAAAATTGATAATATTAAACTAATTTCTATGCTATCAGTAATGACAACAATAATATTGGTAATAGGTAACAGTAGGCCTTAATTACTCTCCACGATTTTTGGCTTCAGCTCGTGCAACCAAACCGCAATTTTAAACACAATTTTAAACACTTGTTGTTATTATTATTATCATTTTATACTATTAATGTCATTATTCATTATCAATATTATTATTTTCATTAATGTTATAAATTACGATTTTTTATGAAATTACTCATCATTATTATTATTGTTATTGTTATTACTCATATTATTATTATAAATTTGTATTATCAGTGTCATTACTCATTGTTATTATTATTATTATTATTATTATTATTATTATTATTATTATTATTATTATTATTATTATTATCATTATTATTATTATTATTATTATTATTATTATTATTATTATTGTTATTATTATTATTATTATTAGTATTATTATTATTATTATTATTATTATAGTAATTATTATTGTTATTAATATTATTATTGTACATTTATATTATTCTTGTCAATATTATTGTTATTATTATTATAAATATATATTGTTAATATCATTATTATTTTGATTATTGTCATTACTAATATATTAGTATTATTATTGCATTTATGGAATGAATATGTAGTTGCAAGCTATTTACTCATTTATTTAATGAAACTTTGGACTTCGACTAAGATCAACAATAGCCTGGGACGCCTCGTTCCTTAATGCCTGACTTACTAGGATGTTCATCTAGCGAGGACTACGATTTTAATAGATTATTGTCGAGCAATATTTATTATTGTTTATCAGCTACTAATTTAAAGGTTTTTCAGTTATGAAGTGCAGTTACAAGTGAATTACTGCAAAATATAGACTGCCAAGACTTAAGTTAAATGTACCGAATGTTTCTTTATATTTCTTGATGTTTCTACATTTTATCCATTTGCTACATTGCATTTACATATTTGTTTACTAATCAATTGCTTGGCTCATTGGCGATGCCATTAATTAAGAGCAATCCCCACATTGCCGGCCATATTCAGCTCAGAGGCTTGTAAAGCTGTGGTAATAAAAGCCATTTTGGTTTTCTGGGTGGGTGTGGCCTGTGTACAAGATCTGCAGCATCTGCTCTGCTCCATTTGCAGAGTCTATTGGCTGCTGGTGCCAGGCGCCCCAAAACCCGAATACATTTGTTTTCCAACTCATTTCAGTTTGCCTTTACAGAAACCAGTCTGGCTACGGGCAGGGGACCGGTGACGGGGGGACGGGGCGAAGGGGACAGGCCAAGAGCTGGCCCTGTGCGCGGTTGTTGTTGTTGCTGGTGGTTGGCTGTGTGGTGCCAAGGCGACTGCGGCCCAGGTGTGATGTACTGGAATAACTTAACGACGCAGTCGCAACGCATACATATGCATAAGCGTGTGCGTAGCTGTGTGTGTGCGTGTGAGTGTGTCTGTGTGTGCGTGTGTGAGCGTGTGTGTGTATGTAGATGCTGCTTGTTGTTGACCAATAAGCATAAACAGCTACAGCATCCGGCCCGGGCAACCGCCATCTTAGCGCGTTTGCCGCTGCTTTAATGAACCAACAACAACAACAACAACATCAGCTCGAAAGGTGAACACAGCTACCTGTGGCAATCTCTTGACAGAGGGACTGAGACCGCGTGCTCAGTACCAGGTCTGAGCCCTAAGGTCTCGGGTCTCACATATGAGAGAGATCGATGTGTTGCATATGGCCTAAAGATTCCTACTCTCGTGCATAATTAAGCTAATGAAGCTGGCATTGGTGTGGGGCCCGGGGGGGCGGGCAGCTACTCTCTTCTGGTAGGGCCCGAGATCCACGAATGACCGAGCGCCCAAAGCCGAAGCCGGAACACGGCTGCGAATGGGTTCGGTTAATGAGGTTTTCCAGCCGTCGTCAAAGACAACAACGTCAAGACCCAGTTCTCACACACAAAAGCCATTTAAAGAGCATGAAAAAAAAAACAGCAAAAAAAAAATAAGACTCGAGAAAAATGTACTGAAATGTAATGGATTTTATCACGCACATACCAAAACTCCCTCGCAGCGCTTGGCTGCCATAAAATTAGATAAATATATATATATATATATAGCTTGGTATAAGTATTTAGATCGGGCTTAAATGCTGTGCAGTTATTTGGCTTGCAAAATCCCTTTAACTAAAGCTTGTAAGATTTAAGTAATTTGAATTATTTAAATCTCTAACACATTTTTTGAAATATCTCCTACTTTTGTTTTGGAAAACACACAAAAAATTTGCTTGACGCTTGCAATTCTCAACCAGTTAAAGCTGAGACGGCAGGAACCAGGCTTTACACTCGCTGGCAAAGTCTTCCGATTGTGGAAGCGAAAGGTTCTTAGACTAAATCGAATCTAATCATGATGCTTTTACCTTGTTCTTTCAACTTATTATTTATGATTAATTTATCAGTTGCTAACTGGTTTATCTTTTCAACTAAATCGGGGTTGGACAATAGGATAGCTTGTATAACACTGTGTTTGCAGTCCTCATTATCAAGATTAGGTATCCAGATTATTATAATTATAATATTTTTAAACTATATACAGTCTATATGAGAGTCTATTGAAATAAATGTACACGCATTCGATTTAAATATTATTTGAGTTTTTCTTAAAATCCTTTGCTTATTGTCATGTGCTAAGAGTGTAAGTAAGGTTTATAGTTCATTTAGTAAAGTATAGGGTATTATTTAAATATATACAAAGAATAATAATAAAAATAAATAGCAAGAAATTTTAAAGAAATCGACCGTTTTCTTGCTTTAATTCTATTTGAATTAAATTTATTAATTTCTGACTTTCTTATTAAACAATTTATTTAATTAATTGATTATTTATCTTTCTATCGATTAATCTCTCCTGGTTTAAAATTGTAAAATATTTCAACACGTTGTTAACACTGAATTAACCGTTATTTAACGTTTATTGATATAGTAAAAATGATGGAGGGGAACCTATTAAACTTATTAGCCAAGTCTCAACAACAATTAAGCTGTCGACTCTTGATTTATATGCCTATTAGCAGGAAGCATGAGAAAGTAATCATGTTTGTTTTTTTTTTATATTCAATTCTGTGTAAACAAGTTTGAAGGGAAACTAAAATGTTTTAGCACCCAATTTGTTTAAAAACTCATTTAGAATTGGAAATATTAAAGATTATATGTCTCGGCATTATCCGAAACGGACTTTAAAAATGCAAATCAATTGAGTTGAAATCCCGAAGCTGGGCTAAATTGATGTGTCTACCATCTAGATGGATTGATTTATAGAGCAGGATCAAAGGACGCACAAAAACCATTAAAAATTGCCAAAAATGTGACAAAATATGTGACAGACTTGCGTAAAATATGTTGCCCTTTAAGCCAGCCTTCCGAGAAGTCTAAGAAATATATATTTATATGTATGTGTGTGTGTGTTTCTTTTTTAATATATTCCTTATATATAAAATGATATCTGAACCGGACGCAACGTAAGGTTGTCTAAATGTTTTGGCCTAATGCTATGTTAATATCATGCATAGCTATCAGAGAGTTTAGATCAAAACTAAATCATTTTAATGAGCGAAACCGCATTTTGACCTCTCTACCCGACTTATATATAGTGTTTTTTTTGTTTTATTTATTTTTTGTTGTTTTTTTTTATTATGGTTTTTCTCATACTTTCTTGCTGACCATGCTGAGAGGCGCGCTCTACTCTTGGTTTACTTTCCACTTGACCAATTCCGAGTCCGAGTCCGAGTCCGACTCCGAGTCTGAGAGCGAGTCAAGACGTTTTGGTTCTATGTCTAGCTAACTAACACATTTACATATATTCACACAGAACGCACACAGTGAAACGAAAAGCGGACATACGCACACAAGTGCAAGTGCTTTGGCAGAAGAGTCTCTACTACAGGAGGGGGTGGGTTAAGTGTGGCCATGCTATGTAGAAACAAATTCGAAATCTAAGCAAACTTTTGTAAATAGACAAATCTAGACATATAAGGCAAGCGAACCCCCCCCCCCCCCCCCCTCCTCTCCCCTTCGTTTGTGTGTGACTAAGACTTGCAATGCGCCAGCCCCCTCCACCCCCCCTTTAGGCTGTCGTAGTCGTAGTCTGTGCTTATATACCACTATGTATATACATGTATTTAGGAGAGCCAGCGACATATACGAGACATCTAGAGAATTTCTTCACCCATACCAGCGCATTTTTCCATTTTTCATTATGGTTATTATCTTGAAAGATATGTATCTTCGCTACGGTTGGATATAATTAAACAGCGAGAGAAAAAAAAAAATGTTGTAGTTGGAGTTGGTTTTTTTTTTTTTTTATAGCATGGGAAAAATGTAAATATTACTTGTAATTTGTTAGCAGATGATGTGGATGTTCGTGATCATATGAGGGTTCCATTTTATACGGCAACAGCGACTACAGCTACGTTTCGTGGTAACGGTGACTGCGACGACGGCGAAGGCGGCGAAGGCGGCGAAGGTGGCGAAGGGGGCGACGATGGTTGCAGGTTGTTGTTGTTGCTGCTGTTGTTGTTGTTGTTGTTGGTTTGGGCTTTGCTTTAGCTTTAGCAGGGCCAGCAGCATTTTGCTTAATGTTGCATTATTCCGTTAGTTTTTTCCCTAAGCGACTGCTGGCCGTGGTAACATTTGGCCCAGAGTAACAACAACCAGCCATAAATTTGCGCATTCGTCTCTGTTGTTGTTGTTGTGGTTGTTGTTGTTGTTGTTGTTGTCTTCTAACTGGCATGTGTGAATTTGTGTCTATTTGTTGTGCGGGTGTGTGTCTGTGTGTGTGTTTTTGTTGTGCTAGTTTAGGCCCTAACCCACATTAAGCACTCCATACTTGAGAATTTTCGCAATGATTTTACTTTTTGCTTAACTTTTTTTGCTTCTTCTTCTTAATTACAAATCAGCTCGTGAATTATGAACAACACTTTTTTTTTGTTTTGTTTTGGGCCACTTTGTTGCTTTATAGAATTTTATTTTGTATTTCGCACATTTTTATTGAAATTTTAACTTGATTTAAGGATTGCGTTTTGTTAACTGTTTTGCCGCTGGCAGCTGCTGCTGCTGCTGTTGCTGCTGCTGGCTCGGAATCCCACGTTAGCCAAGATCAAGAGAGGTTGGCGAAAAACGCGTTTGCGATCACGAAAAGTCTTGCGACGACTAATGAACGTATCTGGTGCTTAAAATCAAGGGCTTCAACATTTCACAAAAAAACAAAACAACACACTAACTGAGAGCAGGCTGTTGCTGTTGCTGCTGTTTGTTGTTGTTGTTGTTGTTGTTGTTGTTGTTGGCGCACAAGTTTACAATACACTTGGGAAAATGCACAAGCGGGCCTATATACTATTATAGCTGATATACAGATACAGATACACGCCGCGCGCTGTATGTAGATATATTTATGATTATAAGCGCAACGCAGCTGCTGCCGGAGACGACGACAACGACAACGACGACGACGACGACGACGTAGACGTAGACGTAGCCAGCCAAAAGTCAGAGGAGACACATGAACCACGCCGATGACGAACCGCTAGCTAACTAACTGGCAACTGGCAACTGCCAACTGGCAACAGGCAACTGGCAACTGGCGAAACTTGGCTTAAGCTTGCTCGCTCTCGCTCTCCCATTCCCTCGGCCACAGACATCTCTCTCTCTCTCTCTCTCTCTCTCTCTCTCTCTCTCCCTCTCTCCCTCTGTGAACGGAACTGAGATCTCGCCGCGAGTCGCAGTCGAATGCATAAGGCCAAAAAGCGCACGAGCAAAACCTTTTGCGCAGTCTTTGCCCAGCTTGAAGCTGAGCAGCTACGACCCCAGAGAGCGGCAGCAGCGGCACTGACAGTGGCACTGTCAGCTGCCCAGCTAAGCGGAACGAACGCAGTCTCATTCTGGGGCAAGTGTGTGCCCGAGCCGACCGGAGCCGAGCCGAAGCGGCAGGCGTGTGTGCGGCAAGTTCTTTTGAATCAAATGAAACAGACTTATTTTAATATTCCTGTTTGCCGCATTGCGAGTATTTTAAATAGACGCCGATCGTCGAGCAAAGCTGAGCTGAGCTGAGCTGAGAGCTGCGACAGCTTCTACCTTTCCATCTCTCTCTGCTCTCCCCCCCCCCCCCCCCCCTGCTCTCCACCTGCTGCTGCTGCTCTGGACAGTTGTCGCATACACTGAAAGCACGAAAACCAGTTCTCGGCTTTTAATGTGTTGTGGGAGAGACGACTTTGCATTTGGTTTGTTTCAATTGGTGGAGACACACAAATGGCTGTGTGTGTTGGTGTGTGTGCCAGCCCCAAATACATGGCTTGCCCATACAAACACACACTTACACGCACACACACGCGCGCACACAGAGCAGCGTATGCAAATATTGTAATATGCGGAAACTTTGTAGCCAAGTTAAATATATATATTTATATATATATAAAATTATCAGAGTATCTTTCCTTTTGCACATTTGATAAAAGTCTTGACAGTATTTTATTATATTTTATATTATATATATATAAATATAATAATTAATTAATTGATAGTTATATAAATAAAACACATCATTTAAAAGTATTTATATAATGTATATATATAGAAATAAGAACGGTTGATAATAAAAATACATAATATATATAATCAAACTAAGTTTATTTATATATATTTTTACTTGATTTAACTGAATAGATTTCAACAATTAGAAGCAAATTTCTATGAAATATATATATAATTTTATATATATAAATATATATATATATGTATGAACATGGTTGTCTATCCCAGATTGGACATATATGGCAACTGCTCCTGAATGGGTTCACATAAATAAAACCCATAAAAAAGCTTAATCATATACACATAATATATATCAAATCACAAATATATATCTGTAAGATCATAATCTTTGATTTTTTTATTCAGAAATTAGGTTGTTAATTTATAAAAACTATTTGAAACGAATCTATCTATATCTGTAAGATCATAATCTCTGATTTCTTTTTCTCAGAAATTTCTAATTTATAAAAACTATTTAAAACGAATCCACATATTCCAAAAAAAAATTCCAAAAATCCCCTGCGCAATATTAGTTGGTATTATTCAGGCGTTGCCTCAATTTATAAAGACAATTAATATAGACCTTATATTAACTAAACTTTAATGACATAATAAGGAATACAAATTTCAAAATACCCCCATCTTATAAAATAGTTAAATATTAGCTGCAATTTGGTTATAAAACTCATGACTTGCAGCCAAAAGCCACCCTTAAACAAAAAACAGTCACGACTTGACGAAGTTTAAATACCCTTGCGTAGTTCTATTTATAACTATTTCTTTACTAAGCTAAAGAAATGTTTTCTCAAACAAAAACTTGGTTTCCGAACAATTGTTCCCATAGAATTCACCATATTATATATATATATATACATATATTAAATGTACAAATCAATTAAATATAGTATTAATTATAATATATATAATATATCAATAAGTTCGGTATTGCCTATAAATTGAGAGTGTAGTACAACTAGATGTGACTTTGTTTGATTAAAATATCTTTATAAAAAAAGCATAAGAACATATAAACAAATATTTTGGCACTTATATGATATGGTAGTCATCCGATCCTGGGGACTACGACATATGCACTGCCTAGAACAAACACAATCTTTGCTTGATAACAGCCAGATAGATAGACTTTAATTGTCCAAGAACCTAAATACAATATAGAATTAAAGGCATTAATTTATGTGCCTCACACACTTCGTAGTCAATATGCCCTTTGTTAGAGTATACAAATATTAATATTCAAATAGAGCCATATTTAATTTTTATATCATTCCTCCACCCACTTCGCATGCAGCCAAAACGCCGACCGATTCGTATCCAAAAAGCGATAAGCTTCTAAATTGCATACTTGCAACAACTTGGGCCAGGCCAAGCCCTCGACAGTGCCAGGTACTTGCCAGCCAGGTAAAAGTGCATTCGGCCACGCGTAAAGCTCTTAACTACACACACATATTACAACAGCAAAAAAACCGTCCAAAAAAAGAGCCAGGCACAGAGTTCATAATTAAGCGCCAGAATGCCAGAAACTGTTGGTCCTCAGTCGGCGACGTGGGTTAGATGCAAAAATATTTGTTTATCATATCGCGATAATTGCCGCCGGCGCTCGCTGGGTCCGTCGATTTATGCGCAGTGCCCAGACCCGGCCAGGCCAGGCCAGGCCAGCCCAGGCCAGAAAGCCAAGCCAGGACAGGAGACGGCGGCAGACTGGGCAACACAGCCCAGACCGCAAAAGCAAAGAAGAGAAAACGAAACGCGGCAAGCGTGTGCCGACCCCCTTTGAGTTGCTTGAGCTCAAGTCGGAGACTGTGGATGAGGATCAAAGCGTGCCTCGGTGGTGGGTACAAGTTTATTGGCGTGGCGCATGTGCAAATGGCTTCAGCTAAATGCATGGGCATGGGTCCAGGCAGCGGCAACCTCTGGCCCGCTGCTCCAAAAATGTGGGCGTGTGACACTTGAGTCGTTATCGCCAGCGAATCTCTGCCTAAATGCAGCAAAAAAAAAAAAGGAAAACAAATTATTGATAAGCAGATCGCCCGCCCGTTGCACTGCAAGAAATTCTCTGTTGGACACACAGCCAGCCGCTTGATTGGCGGCTATACGATTTTTCCCAGTGTACCCGATGATCGCAAAAACATATCGCTGTAGGTGCAGTTGCCTCTTATCAGAGATGAAGCGCGGCGGCACACGTTGGTCCAGACGCTGCCTCTGCCGTCGTTGAATGAAGAGCTACAGTGCACACATTGATGCTGATTGCTGTCTGTTTTGGATTTGCCTCAACGTTTCGGGTTATGTAAGCCAATAATGTGATGAGGTCGTTGTGTGCAATACCTGCCATAGCTTACCAGTCGCTGCGGTAGGTACCAGGTGGGTACCAGGCACTTGAATAACCTTAAATATAGAGCTATATAACAAAGGAATGTACTTATGCAACAGAAAATACTTAGTTTATGTTCATAAAATGACATTTTCTGCAATTAAAACTTATCATGGTTGTAAAATTATAAAAACCTAAATTCTAGAGCCCTTACAGTGGTATTTAAATTTTCGCGCCTTAACAGTGCTGTTAAATGTCCAGCTGTTATACTTTTACACGATGTGCAGCACTAACATGCGTGTAACGATGTATCGCTATACCGATTATTTTCGATTAGCACCTCTATGTAGTAATCGATGTCTCTAATTTTCTTTAGTACATCGCTAAGTCGGTATGGTGAAGAACGCTGAGTCGCGCTCGGATTTTTTTTGACAAAATAATATTGTGAAATTGTGTTAAAATATAAATTAAACTATTTAAAAGTGTTTCACGTGCTATTAGCAACATGGACTTTGACGGCACACAGTCGTTGAGCAGCATTTTACAACCGGAGG